AATGTGTTTCTCAAACTCAATATGTAAATCCGATTGGGCTCAACTACTCTTTGAGTACAGTTGAGTCATCTTCATTGCCTGATAATTCAAAAAAAGAATCCTTTTATATATATTCAATTTTTGGTTCAGAAGCAGAAATGCCCGCCCCAATCACCTTCTCTGAAATATCACAATATCTACTACTACCTGTTGAAGGTCGGTGGGTTAACTCTTATGTTTGGTGGAAATTGAATAGTTATCGATTCCCTATCTTCTCTTGTATAGCTCAAGAAATCTTATCTATTCCTACCACAAGTGTTCCTGCAGAGCAACTATTCTCTAGAGTGGGATATAATATTAGCAAAACTAGAAACCGCATGCTTGAAACCTCAACTGTACACTGCTCTGAATGAAAGGTTGCACAGGTCAAAAGAACTTTGAAGAATTGGAACTGCTTGAGCATCATTCATAATGGGAGTCAACAGGTCTGTTACAGGAACCAAACAGTTCCAGTTATAGCCCTGAGCAATCTGAGATAGAGAATTAGTTCTAAATAGTGATAAGTATGATCTTCACTTGCCTCTTTCCCGGATCCCCTCTAGTCTTCTCACTTTTCTACTTAGTTCATTTGGGCAGGTATTCATATTATTCATTTCTCAGTTAATAGAAGAGATGATTGGAAACTTGAGATGACTATTTTTGAACTAGGTTATAGTCATTATTTCGATTATTAGTAATGTTAAAGCGAAATTGTCTGTACATTTGAGCCAAAGTTTGAACCCAATCTTATACTTTGAGCTGCCCAAGTCTTTCCTTCCAAAATCTGAATCTGCTCAAGCTTGAGTCAAGCTAGTATTTAACACCCTTGTTCCTAACACTAGCAATGATGTGAGACTTGGCTTTGGGTATATGATAAAATATAATGAAAAACGAAGGTACCTGTCATCCAGATAGTCAACCGACCAGTTGTGCGCGCGCTATAAGTCGAGCATGCTTACTCTTCCAGTCAGCAAGAGGTTGAAGGAATCATATGCTGCCTTAATATGCATTCCGAATGGATTGTCGCTGTTGAAGAAGCCGAAAAGCTGATTCTAGACCATACATGTTTGAGCCATGAGGTTTCTTTCTGTTGAGTAGAAGCAGATGGTACCATGTGTCTTACAACCACATGGTGTGTTTGTACAAAGTATGTAATAGTTAAGTCTGCAAGATTGTCTAATAGTATATAGTAGCAAACAATGAAATAATTTCAGTACCTTTATTCGAGATTAGGACATGGTGCTGTAATGCTGCTGTGGTTAATAATAAACAGTATTATATAAAGGATTATTTTTTGTATAATATGTGTTATAAGAAGGCAGCAATAACACAATGGTTGTACTATTAGCATTATCTTCGAGTGCTAGTTTACTTCTACTGTAGTATTTGAATTAAAAGAATACAGGAGTCTTACGTTATTGCTGTAATATTTAGTGAAAACTAAAACTACTTTCCAAAACTTCAATCTATGCAATAAAGCTTTTCACAAATCAAGATAACCAGATCTAAATATACCTATGAGTCCACTAATTCTTCTCATTTGCTCATGGGCTTGAAACTGTCACGATTTAATTTTGAAAATTATTTTTCTATTTTGTCTACAGATACTTATACGTATTGATGAATAAGTTAAGTGTATCCATAGTAGGCTTAATCAAGTTGACCATTAAGTACCTGAAGTTGTTCCTATAGATAAAGTTTGTAAAATTGAAAACAGTCCTCTATCAAGTATAGAAATGAATCAATTAATTTGTTTCCTACCAAACGGAATTGTGGGAAACGAGTCAGTTGGTATAACGTGGGTCTATGGACGAAAGACTATAGTGCCAAGGAATACAACCGAGGCAAGAACGTAGTAGAAGATATTCGTGACTATGGACTATGGGGCAGCTCTGTTTGATCTGGTAATCAAACTGAACCTAATGACGTAGCGTAGAACAAGAATAATATTCGTGGAGTAGAATACAGACAGAGAGAGAGAGAATTTTATATTGCATAGAAGCCGAAGCTTATCGCACACCTAACTACCCGACTACAACCTCCACCGACTAACCCGAAAACAAAACGAAGTACAAAACTAACTACCGCAGCTATGAGAACTACGTACATAAAAATAAAAAGAATAGCGCACGAAGAGGGCGCAGATAACACGTGGTACAGGTAAGCACAATCTAAGCGACAACAAAGAAACTCTCAAGGGGATGAGTAGCGAGTATTCCGCAGGGTACGAAGAGTGTAGTAGGGGGCGGTATGGGAACTCGCAATAGGGGGCACTACGCGACCCTAGCGTTGGTAAGGTTCGACGGGGCATGGAGGAAGCGAAGCGGTGGTCTTCTTTTTTAAAGAAAGAAGAGAACGATGATATTGTATAGCAGTAAACGGCGTAGATACAGAAGAAGAAGAAGAAGAAGAAACTTATATTGCTTAGAAGCTGAAGCTTATCGCACACCTAACTACCCGACTACAACCTCCACCGACTAACCCGAAAACAAAAACAAAGTACAAAAACTAACTACCGCAGCTACGAGAACTACGTACATAAATATAAAATAAGAACAGCGCATGAAGAGGGCGCGAATAACAAGTGGTACAGGTAAGCAGAATCTAAGTGACAACAAAGAAACCTCCCCGTAGTAAATAAGTAAGAACCCCAAACTTCTCCGTCAACTACATTAGCGAGCACAATCCTATACATGGTGTTCAACCGAAACGGTATCATTACCAACGTTCCCGGTGTCATATCTGTGGACGAACCTTAACAGGACTGGGAAACCACGCGCACGAAGGCAGGAGAGGCCAACCGCAACAGCGTCAGGTGTGAAAGCGAGGGGGGGTGGGTCGAGTGTGGGTCCTCGGGCTTCTGGTTGTCAGGCAGCGAGGAATTGAGGAGTGGTGACCAGTTGGTCAAGTAAGGAGTGGGTGGGGTCGTCGGTCCCTGGAGCAACGGCTAAAGACTGTGCCCGAGTCGTGTTTGAAGTGGTGTCCTCTGGAGGGGACATCCAAAAAAGTGGTTGAGCCGAAGGCTCAGTATGTATGGGGGTCGCAATCGAAAGTGCCGACCGTATTGTGTTGAGGGTGGTCTCGGAGACCGTTTAGGTTGGGGTGAGGGGAGCGGGCCACCTCGGGTGAAAAGGGTTGCCTGGTTAAGGCCGATAAAGAGGGGTAAGGTCACGGGACCTCGAGTAAAAAATTTGACGATAGTTTCGCGACTGAAGGGTAGCTAACTTCGCGGGCTGTCGAGCGCTTTGGCAGTAGGTTCTCGCTGACTGGAGATTACTGACAGTGTGCGTACCCGACGTGTGGGATCACTCATGCGATGAGTGAAAGTAAGGAGGGACGAAGGCGGCTTTCGAGAGTAGCCGCTGGTTTGGCGAGGGGTGAACGGTGGACGTATCCCGTGAGGGCACCGAACGAACAAAGAATGGGGGGGTGTCGAGCGAGGGAAGTTCAGGGACCGAAGCAATTCGAGAATCAGTATAACTCCATCTCGGGGGGAAGAAATCCTATCGTGAGCCAGAGGCGAGTGAGTAGAATACAGAAGAAGAAGAAGAAGAAACTTATATTGCTTAGAAGCTGAAGCTTATCGCACACCTAACTACCCGACTACAACCTCCGCCGACTAACCCGAAAACAAAACAAAGTACAAAAACTAACTACCGCAGCTACGAGAACTACGTACATGATAAGAAAAACAGCGCACGAAGAGGGCGCGAATAACAAGTGGTACAGGTAAGCAGAATCTAAGTGACAACAAAGAAACCTCCCCGTAGTAAATAAGTAAGAACCCCAAACTTCTCCGTCAACTACATAAGCGAGCACAATCCTAAAGGTGGTGTTCAATCGAAACGATATCATTACCAAAGTTCCCGGTGTCATATCTGTGGACGGACCTTAACAGGACTGGGAAACCACGCGCACGAAGGCAGAAGAGGCCAACCGCAACAGTGTCAGGTGTGAAGCGAGGGGGGGTGGGTTGAATGTGGGTCCTCGGGCATCTGGTTGTCAGGCAGCGAGGAATTAAGGAGTGGTGACCGGTAGGTCAGGTAAGAATGGGTGGGGTCGTCGGTCCCTGGAGCAACGGCTAAAGACTGTGCCCGAGTCGTAGTTGAAGTGGTGTCCTCTGGAGGGGACATGCAGAAGGGGTAAGTCAGAGACTCAGTATGTATGGGGGTCGCAATCGAAAGTGCCGACCGTATTATGTTGAAGGGTGGTCTCGGAGACCGGTTGGGTTGGGGTGAGGGGAGTGGGCCGCCTCGGTTAGGAAATGGGAGGCCTGGTTAAGGCCGATAAAGAGGGGTAAGGTCACGGGACTTCGGGTAAAAATTTGACGATAGTTTCGCGACCGAAAGGTCGCTAACTTCGCTGGCTGTCGAGCGCTTTGGCAGTAGGTTCTCGCTGACTAGAGATTACTGACAGTGTGCGTACCCAACGTATGAGACCACTCGTGCGATGAGTGAAAGTAAGGAGGGGTGAAGGCGGCTTTCGAGAGTAGCCGCTGGTTTGGCGAGGGGTGAATGGTGGACGCATCCCGTGAGGGCACCGAACGAACAAAGAATGGGGGGTGTCGAGCGAGGGAAGTTCAGGGACCGAAGCAATTCGAGAATCAGTATAACTCCATCTCTGGGGAAAGAAATCCTACCGCGAGCCAGAGGCGAGCGGGCAGAATACAGAAGAAGAAGAAGAAACTTATATTGCTTTGAAGTACAAGACTTATTGCACGCCGAACCAACCGCCTAAAATACGAATCGAACCCAAAAGAAAGAAAGAAAGAAAAGGAAAACAACGAACACGAACAAACAAAAGCAAAGCGAACACAAACGAACATAAATAAAACAAGGAAATTCGGGAACATTACTCAACCAGAAAACCCAACGACAAGGAGAAATAACATATCTCAGCGGACTCAAGCGCTAAATCCATCAAAAACAAAATTTAAAACAAAGTTAAAAGGTAAGAGGAAACTGCCCTTCCTAATCCCGTCCCTAATCATTTTCTTCCGTCCCCTCTTCTAGGTCCACCTCCGCTTCCGCCGACTCGTACCACTTCGAGAGTTTAGAGTTTTTTGCAAATTGTAAGATAAGGTCCGTTTTCAAGTTTGTAAACATCCAGTTTTCCCAGGTTATCGCTCTGGGGATCTTTTCTATCAGGGGGGCGCGGATTCGAGCCCACGCTGGGCATTCCATAAGTGTGTATTTCGCTGAGTTTTCCATACCACACTGGCATGGTTCGGGGTCTGTATATACCGCGTGTTTATCGATTCGGGTGGTTTGGCACCGGATTCGAAAAACTTTTTTCGCTTCCGTTAGGGTGAGTTTCGCAATCCTGGAAGGGGGGCGGAAATCCCCCCGATGATGGTAGTCCGGTATTGGGTGTGTATTCCATTCTTCCAACAGGTGGTCGCGTAGTAGGTTGTTTTGATTCCACTTGTCTCTCGGATTTCCGGGGGTTTGATATGGGAGTAGGAGGGAAGCGATTCGGTGTAGACCTGTCCCTTTGATGTTTGCTTCTCTGTATGGGAGGAGCTCGATTAGGGATTCATTGTTAGGGTGGGTTGCCTCGGTGCAGAGTATTCTGGTTCCGTACTTTCTTGAGCGATATGTTAGGAGGTGTTCTAGGGGGGGTAGTCCTGCTTCTCGGAGGAGTTTAGCTCTCTTGGTCCATCGGGGTAGGCCCGTGATGATCCGGGCAGCTTCGTTGTATAATGGTTCTAGCGATCTAATGATGTGGTCTGCGCCAGTCCACCAAGCCTCAGATCCGTAGAGCAGGCTTGGAAGGAAGCCCTGTGTTATTAGGTGATGAACTGTCTTGACTGTTATCCCTGGCAGGCGGGCGGTGTTTCGGATTTGGTGGAGGGCTTTTAGGCCTTTTGCGATTGCTGCTTCGATATGGGGCCGGAAGGAGAGGGTTGGATCTATCCAGACTCCTACGTATTTCAGCCTCTCTTTGGGGTATATATTGATGTTGTTCACTTTGACTGGAAGTCGTGGTTGTTGTGTGGATGATGTGGTGGGCCGGAAGAAGATCAGATCGGATTTGTCCGGGTCGTATTTGATTTGGAGTGGCTCAGCTTTAATTAGTCTCTCTCTCATTCGTTCCTCCATTCTCTTGATTGTAAAGCCTGGTGTTTTGGATATTTGCACCAGCGCATCGTCATCAATGTAAGTTGTGTCCATCTCTTTTGGGCTGCTAGTTGGGTCCAGAATTACTCCGGCATAGATCATGAATAGTACCGGAGACATGGGGCTACCTTGCGGCACTCCGGAATCATAGGGCTGTGGTTCCTCTAGCTCATGGTTGAATTGGAACTGTAGTTTTCTGCCGGTGTTGAATTTCTTGCACCATTCTATCAGATAGGTGGGGAATTTTTGTTGGTGCATGATTTCCGCGAGGAGTAGGTGGTCGATACAATTGAATGCTCCTTGGATGTCGTTGGTTAGGATCGCTGGTCTATCTCGCCGGGCGATTCCGGTGCTGTTTTTTAGTAGTAGGTTTTGTTGTATTGGTGTCAAGGTTCTCAGGAGGGCATCGATTGCCGAGATGGTTGGTCTTCCTCCGAATTGGTTTGCTGAGAGCGTGCCTAGGATTTCTCCAGCGGTGCAGAATCTCTGGGCCACTATCTTCTCCAGGATTTTGCTGAAACATTGTAGAAGGGAAATGGGCCGGTAGGCTTTTGCTTCATGTTAATTTGCTTTACCGGGTTTTGGGATCGGGATACACTTAGCTATTTTCCATTCCGCTGGATGTACACCGTGCCGGAGCATAGCGGAGAACATGTCTTGGATTAGAGTTGTCTTTGCTTTGACTATAGCTTTGATAAAGGTATAAGGGATGCCATCCGGGCCGGTCGCCGAGTGCGCTGGGCAGGAGTCGACTGCTTTGTTAAGTTCTTCGGGGGTGACTATATCGAAGGTATTGCTAAGGTCAAAAGAGGGGGGTCTAATGTTCAAGGGGGGATGGTCGGGGGACGTCCGTTTCGAGGGGAAGAGTTGGGCTCTTAGAGATTGACACTTCCCCGCAAACGTTTCTTCACCTTGTATGGTTGGTATGATTGTGTCTCTTCTTCTTCCTACGTTTAGGATTCTCCAGACTTCACTACCTTTCGCCTCGTTCATCGTCTTTTCCCGCTGGTCTGCTTTTGCTTTCCGGATCATGACTGTCCATTCTCTGCAAGCCTTCCGGTGTTCCTCCACGTGATTGGGTTTCCTTGTGTTCCTCGCCTTCCTTTCTGCTGCATTTACCTTTGCCTTCATTTGTTTCATTACATCTGACCACCAGGAGTTGGCTCTTACCCCCTCCTTCGAGAGCAGTGTTACTATGCTGACTGTTGACCTGACCAGTTCTAGAAAGAAATCAACAGTCTGTTCCGTAAGTTCCTTGGTTTCCCATGCCTCTGCAGGGATGGAAATGTTTGACATGTGGTTTTCCAATAGCTTCCAGTCTGTTTGTCGCCACATTCGTCTTGGTACAAAAGGTGGTTTCTCCAAGTGTAAGTGAACGGAGGTTCTCCCATGGTCTGAGCCCGCTCCGTAGGGTTCAGTGCTCCATCGTAGGTTGTGATCGAGTATTGGGCCTTTTACAAATGTAAGGTCGATAGTTGTGGGCCTTTTCCCTCTGTCTCTGGAGAAATGCGTAAAGACGCCTGGTTCGTTCAGGAGGGACAGTTTCTGTCTGGTTATCCATCGTTTTAGTCGTGCACCATTGACGCGGTCTGCTCGAATGTTGTTTCTGTATTCATGTGAATTTACTCCGTACCACATCTGATGGTGGCAGTTGAAGTCTCCCATTACTAGACAGTTATCAAGGGTTTCGATTGTACTTGCTATCTGGGCGAAGGGGCCACTTCGGCCTGGGGAGTATATGTTTAGGATTTGGGTTTTCTTGTTCTGGATTTCTACCGTAATCGATACTATGAAATTATCGTGTGTGTAGTGGTGTTTTGGTTTGAGGTTGGCATGTTTGCGGACGTATGTTGCGCATTTTGTATTGGTATTGCTGGCTGTAAAAATATAAAAGAGGTTCGATTCTGGTGGGTATCCCTCTGCTGAGGTCCATGGTTCTTGTAATAATAGGAAATAAATGCTAGAGTCTGTTTCCGCTTCTTCTACCGCCGCCTTGGTAATGAGTTCGCTCCGTGCACAATTGAGTTGGTGTGCGAGCGCGGTGGTTCGAGGCCTAAGCATTATTTGTCATGGGTTGGTCATCTTCGGGAACTGGTGTGGCTCCGACTGGGGCGGTGGCTGGTACTTGAACTATCGACTCTTGGATGGGTGCGGCCGGTGGGTCTTGAACGGGTGGGGCGCTTTCTTTTCCTTTGTTAAGGAATCGGCGTTTGACTCTTTCGGGGCATGCTGGGTCGGAGTCCTTATGGATTCCTTTGCAGTTCAGGCATCTGATTGGGGTGTGGGTGCATCTATATCCTCCCTGGCATTGATTGCATGGGTGGAAGCTGGTGAGATGGTCTCCGGCACAGTGACCGCATCTCCCGTTGTTTTTGCATTTCTCCTGGCGGTGACCATATTCGAGGCACTTCGCGCATTGGGTGTCTGGGAAGGTTGGGAGGAAGGCCTCGATGTGGCAGCTTCGGTTAAAGAGGGATAGGAACTTAACTCCTAGTGATTCCATTGTAACTTGTCCTGGGAGCGCGATGATCATTGATGAGTGGGTTTTCTCCATTCGAGTCTCTGCTCTAGAGATCCAGCGGGGAACCTGGGCAAGTTGGAAGTTCTCTCCATAGTTGCTTCTAATTTCGGATGCTACCAGTTGTCCTGCCTCGACGCCTTCTCCGACCGTCGTGGGGATTCCGTGAATAAGGAACTTTGACCATTTGGAGTTTGCCCGGATGATAGCGACTGGTACTTGTAGGGTGAGGAGAGCCTCCTCAATTTCTTTGGCGTATTCCATTGCCTTCGATGCTGGGGTGACAAACTTTGTTTCCAGGATAAAGTTATCCTTGGGTGTTCTCCTTGCTGAAATGAAGTGGCAGGATTCGTCCTGAATTCTTGAATTGACTAGGGTCCTGATCTCGGAGGGATTGACGTCGGATGGGGCAGTGGTTTCGACAATGATTTGTCTGTTGATTTTGGTATATTCTGGCTTGAAGAGAGGATCCGCTTTTGGCTTTGCAGACTTCTTTCTTCTCTCAACAACCTGGAAGTTTCCTTGGGCAGGACCGGGGGCCGAGGCCACGGCGGCTCAGGTGCCTGCTTTCCATCCACGGGGTGGGGCTTGTTGGGGGGGTGCGGGTGGGGGGGCCTGAGGAGCTGCCTGAGGCGCTGCTTGGGGAACTGTTTGGGGGACTGCTGGAGGGGGCATTCTCTGTCCCTGCGGTTGTTGTTTTCGCTGTTGTTGCTGTTGTTGCTGTTGTTGTGGTTGCTGCGGTTGCTGCGGTTGTGGTTGTTTGTTGAGAAGAAGATGGATCGCCGAGTGCATGCTGGTGATCATGTTTGTTTGCGCCTCGATTTGGTGCCTCAGTGTATCTACTGTTCTCCGGAGTGTGGTCGTTTGCTCTTCGAGGATTTCAATCCTGTCAGTGGGTGGGCAGATTCGGCTGGTGGCATGTCTAATGGCCCAGGTGATGTAGTTCAGGTCCGTCTGGGTGTGAGTGTCCTGGGGAACGACGCTTGGGTAGAGGTAGTCAATTCTCGGTTGGTATGGGTCGTTGTAGTCGGATTGTGTTGCAAAGGTCTAGGAGAATTCTTGTTCCTGAGCTCCGGATGGGGTTGGATCGGGAACCGGAGTATTCCTGTTCTGCGGAGGGGCTGTCCCTTGCTGAGAAGACTGGGTGAAAAAGGACTGGAGCGAGGCTTGTTGCGACATAATTGAATGTCCAGTTCTTCTGGCGGCGTAGAGTGATGTTTCGGAAAGGTTTCTTTTCCTTCCCTTCGGGAGGTCAAGGCTGGAGAATTCTTCGCTGGAAGCCAGTTTTCGTAGGTTTCTTTCGCTTGGAACAACAAGACGCGACCGTACGATCGGGGACGAAGTGGCTCAACCTGGTATGGTATACCAGGGTAAACCGAGGGGAATAAAAATAAAATGTTTTTGAAGCGAGGTTTGATATCAGGGAGTTCTTCGCGAGCTGGAGGCGAGCGAGTAGAATACAGAAGAAGAAGAAGAAGAAACTTATATTGCTTAGAAGCCGAAGCTTATCGCACACCTAACTACCCGACTACAACCTCCACCGACTAACCCGAAAGCAAAAAACAAAGTACAAAAACTAACTACCGCAGCTACGAGAACTACGTACATAAGTAAAAAATAAACGACGCACGAAGAGGGCGCAAATAACAAGTGGTACAGGTAAGCAGAATCTAAGCGACAACAAAGAAACCTCCCCGTAGTAAGAATAAACCCCAAACTTCTCCGTCAACTACATAAGCGAGCACAATCCTAAACGTAGTGTTCAATCGAAACGATATCATTACCAACGTTCCCGGTGTCATATCTGTGGACAAACCTTAACAGGACTGGGAAACCACGCGCACGAAGGCAGGAGAGGCCAACCGCCGCAGCGTCAGGGTGGAAGCGAGGGGGGTGGTGTAAGAGTGGGTCCTCGGGCGTCTGGTTGTCAGGCAGCGAGGAATTGAGGAGTGGTGACCGGTAGGTCAAGTAAGGAGTGGGTGGGGTCGTCGGTCCCTGGAGCAACGGCTAAAGACTGTGCCTGAGTCGTATTTGAAGTGGTGTCCTCTGGAGGGGACATGCAAAAAGGGTTGAGCCGAAGGCTCAGTATGTATGGGGGTCGCAATCGAAGGTGCCGACCGTGTTGTGTTGAGGGTGGTCTCGGAGACCGGTTGGGTTTGGGTGAGGGGAGCGGACCGCCTCGGGTAAAAGTGGGTGGCCTGGTTAAGGCCGATAAAGAGGGGTAAGGTCACGGGACCTTGGGTAAAAATTTGACGATAGTTTCGCGACCGAGAGGTCGCTAACTTCGCGGGCTGTCGAGCGCTTTGGCAGTAGGTTCTCGCTGACTGGAGATTACTGACAGTGTGCGTACCTGACGTGTGGGATCACTCGTGCGATGAGTGAAAATAAGGAGGGGCGAAGGCGGTTTTCGAGAGTAGCCGCTGGTTTGGCGAGGGGTGAACGGTGGACGCGTCCCGTGAGGGCACCGAACGAGCAAAGAATGGGGGGTGTCGAGCGAGGGAAGTTCAGGGACTGAAGCAATTCGAGAATCAGTATAACTCCATCTCGGGGGGAAGAAATCCTATCGCGAGCCAGAGGCGAGCGAGTAGAATGCAGAGAGAGAGAGAGAGAATCTTATATTGCATAGAAGCCGAAGCTTATCGCACACCTAACTACCCGACTACAACCTCCACCGACTAACCCGAAAGCAAAAACGAAGTACAAAACTAACTACCGCAGCTACAAGAACCGCATACATAATAAAACAAAACAGCGCACGAAGAGGGCGCAAGTAACAAGTAGTACAGGTAAGCAGAATCTAAGCGACAACAAAGAAACCTCCCCGTAGTAAGAATAAAAACCCCAAACTTCTCCGTCAACTACATTAGCGAGCACAATCCTATACGTAGTGTTCAATCGAAACGATATCATTACCAACGTTCCCGGTGTCATATCTGTGGACGAACCTTAACAGGACTGGGAAACCACGCGCACGAAGGCAGGAAAAGCCAACCGCAACAGCGTCAGGGGTGAAAGCGAGGGGGGGTGGGTTAAGTATTGGTCCTCGAGCATCTGCTTGTCAAACAGCGAGGAAGTAAAGAGTGGTGACCGGTAGGTCAAGTAAGGAGTGGGTGGGGTCGTCGGTCCCTGGAGCAACCGCTAAAGACTGTGCCCGAGTCGTGTTTGAATTGGTGTCCTCTGGAGGGGACATGCAAAAGGGTTGAGCCGAAGGCTCAGTATGTATGGGGGTCGCAATCGAAAGTGCCGACCGTATTGTGTTGAGGGTGGTCTCGGAGACCGGTTGGGTTGGAGTGAGGGGAGCGGGCCGCCTCGGGTAAAAAAGGGTTGCCTGGTTAAGGCCGATAAAGAGGGGTAAGGTCACGGGACCTCGGGTAAAAATTTGACGATAGTTTCGCGACCGAGAGGTCGCTAACTTCGCGGGCTGTCGAGCGCTTTGGCAGTAGGTTCTCGCTGACTGGAGGTTACTGACAGTGTGCGTACCCGACGTGTGGGATCACTCGTGCGATGAGTGAAAGTAAGGAGGGGAAACGACCGTCTGGCGGTGGCCGTCGTTTTGGCGAGGGGTGAACGGTGGACGCGACCCGTGAGGGCACCGAACGAGCAAAGAATGGGGGGGGTCGAGCGAGGGAAGTTCAGGGACCGAAGCAATTCGAGAATCAGTATAACTCCATCTCGGGGGGAAGAAATCCTACCGCGAGCCAGAGGCGAGCGAGTAGAATGCAGAGGTTGCGTAAAGAAAGAAGGAAAGAAAGAAAACAGATAAAGACACAAGACAACGCCTCCTTATATATCCAACCATAGTCCGATGATGACTAATATCTTCGCGTAACATAAACTAAAAGAACATAACAGAAATCCCAATTATAAATCCTAATCCCACTGCACAATACCTCCGCTTCTCGTTCCAGTTTATCACCTAACCGAAATACATAGCTGCCATTACAGTTGGTCATTTCATAGGGTCGCTTTTAAAAAGGTTCAAAAAATTCTTTTCCATTGCCAAATATTCCATTTTTTTATTCATTTCTGCTTCTGTACCAACTATTCTGGACAAGTGTGCATCGTCATACTAGAATACTTTTAGAATATCTTTTCTTGATATCTTTTCTTGATGTCTTTTCTTATGCCATTCTTGATGCCTTGCTACCAGTGTACTGGAGACTGAAAATGTATCTTCCCAAATTTAATAACATAAAAAATTTGCAGAGAGCTTAATATATCAATCAGTAGTTTAGGTGATAAAATGAGGACTGTATGATCGCAGTTTCCAAGGTTCAATCTCGACTCTTGTTTTATTTGTATTTGTCAAGTATACACTTATAAATAATTTTCGATTATAGGTAAAATGTGTTTTAAAGTAACATATTGAACTTAAGATTCATTTCTTGATTCATTTACTAATTAAAGACGGTATTTTCAATAAACACATTTTCGATGATTCATTTCACACTAAACTTTTAGATGAGTGTAAGATGCATTTTTCAATTCATTTCCATAGTTGGTAGAAGCGGTCAGCATTATATGGCTATCACTGTGAGAAGAGCAAGTAGGTGGTCAGACAGTCAACGGTAATAGGGGTAGTGGTTAGAGCAGTTACTTCAATACCAATCTAATTCTAATTGTAGACAATGCTGAATTGTACACTTCATCGTACTGGATATGCCAGGTGGCACTTAAGAAAAATAAATCTTCCCTAAATTGTGGTAGTAAATCTCGAATATATTTAAATACAGCATTTATTTAACAACGGTATTAATACGATACTAAAGTGGTATCAATAACAGCCCTCTTTTTGCTATTCTACCAATGACTTCCTATATTGAAGTATAGCTTTAACTGACAGACTAAATGACAAACCATTCAAGTGTGAGATCTTGTATTTTTTTGTCAGTAGCAATCTCCATGATCCAGGTAGTATAACATCATCTTCTGTCACCAAAATGCATACAATTAATGAATTACCAATCAATCGATCCTGTCCCCACAAAGGTCATACTTTCTCACTGTATACCAAGGAAATAACCAAATATCCACAACGGGATCTTTACTCCTGGCTTATCAAACAATTAATGCTCAAAACCAACGCTCAAAAAAAACGGCAGAAAAGATGCATAATGCATGCTGTAATCCACGGTATACTAATTGCACAGGCAGACTTTGTGCTAAGTATGTATTAGTCGAGGTTGATGGTCAAGTATCACAAATCCAGTAATCCTGAGTTTGAGGTCACCAGAGGATTGCGGGTATATTCCCGGAATTGGTGGAGTAGACAGTAGGCAGATAAAAAAGGGGGTACAGATGATTGTTGAAGACCACGTTGATATATCCACCAACCTGAGACAGTGAGGAGGAGGTGCTGATAGCCAATATCTAGTACTCTAATCCTTATAAAATTTCATCCTGCACCACCATTCTTAAATGTCATATATATTAAACATTTAAAGCGAGTGTAGTACTGATAACAGATCTAGCAGTGATATATCTAATAAGTATATAGATATACCGATATGCAATGTGTTATTTAAAGGTTTTGATTGGTCAAGTTTGAGGGGTTTTCTTTTCTCTATCAAATATGTTTGTCAGTAAGTAGATATTCTATCAAATATATTGGAGTTAGTAGATATTCTCTCAAATATGTTTGAGTCAGCCAGTAGATATTAGTTCCAACATACATTGAGTCAACCAAATAGTGTATCAGATATGTGCACAGGGCATCTTGGGCTTTCAGTGATTTTAAGCGTTGGTAAACTGATATTATTTAAGCCATAACAGTTCCTACTCCGGCCAAAGGCTGGAAAATGCTTGTATTAGATAATATGAGTGTAGTAGGTCAATACAGAGGTAATACCTTCTCCATATTCTCCAGAAGCCAAAACAGCTAAACTAGCAGTATTTTAATATTGCAACGGTATTATTCGGATCGCTAAGTTCTGTAGTAGGTTATTCCCGGTATCTATAGCTATGTAAATACATTGCATAAATACGGCAATCATTCCAGGACTGGCCATGATGAAGACATGAGGAAAGGGAATCTGTTGTGGATGTGAGCAGAGGCATTCAACCTGCTGGCATAGCATAATGGTAGATTTGAGCTTGTATGAGCTCTGAAATTAAAGCTAGGCTTAATTTGACCCGAAGTATATCCTACCAATGGAGGGGGTCATTACACCAGGCTTTCCTTGTACAAACTCGTGAAATGGGATAGTCATTGCGACAAATACTCACTATATCGATATATATATCGTATTTCCGGAGTGCGCTGATGCAGTGAGTAATGGTGGGAGTTCTCCACTGCAATATAGGTCTCTCGGTGGATGTCACCTGCGAGTCGTGAATAATGCATTTCTAGTTATTTGATTTATGTAAGCTCAATAGATTTACCAGCCAGTCAGTTACAACCTGGTATATACAGTATTGATAAAGATTTTCTTGAAATAGTACGCTCGGCACGTTTCACAGTATTGGAGGATTCTCATTTATCATCATGAGTCATGGGTTCTGACTCATTCATTCTCTGGTATTTATTAGTCATGTTTTTTTATTACTCATATGGCTATGATTCACTATGTTTTGTATTACCTTTCCTTAGTATAAATACGGGGCATTGCCCCCTCTAGTTAGTTGGAATAACACGCTCAATCACTACAATTTTTACATAGATTTTTTTTAGATCCTTTTGCCTCATACGTGTCTTTATCACTTCTGCTGGTTTCCATTGAATTGATAGAGTATAGTAATGATTATAATATTGAGGATGAGATGTGGTTGTTGTTTCTAAGATTGGGCCGAATCAAAAAGGCTTAGGCACAAGTAAAAAGCTCAGGCCTAAAAGGATCTTAACCCAGCCAAGTCCAGATATCACAATCGATGCCTGCCACAGCCCAGCCCATTTATGGCCTGGGCAAACCAATATATAATCCGGCCCATTGAAAGGCATGGGGATACTAGATCTCTCTATATCGATCAGAGCTGTCTAGCTGTTGATGATATCGGGAAAGAGTGTATCACATTCTCCGTACCGCGAAAACGGTTCTGTTACTGATTACATTTGTCTTTCAATATATACTAGGAGGTGCGATTACTCTCTCAGGATGGCTAGCTCATTCTTAACTACACATTACTCGACAAGATTTCACGTAGCAATTGCAAGTTCAGAGATCCAGAAAATCTGATTATAAAATAAAGTGGAAACTACAAGAACCCATTATGCCTTCTTCAACCCTTGAACCAGCTGATCTATCATTATCACGCCATTTCTAGGTGCTCTGTAGGACTCGATGTTTTCTTTTGAACGAAACACACTCCGTGCAATGCCCCTACTCAGTCATGTTCTTGGTGCCAAGGATTATACATCTCGCGGGCCATTCCATAAATCGCAGTACAGGGTAATGAATCTGCATGATTTATATCTCACTCCTGCTTATATCGTATCTACCGCCGCCAGAGTTACATTCATTTTATAGCTCTGTTGTTTGTTACCTTCAGCTCTGTCGTCTCTTACCGTGGCCTTAGCATCTGGAAAACAATTCGTCTCCTGGTATCCGACGCACGGGCCAGTGCGGAACATCTCCACTTATGGACCAGTAAGCTTTCGAAGGCTTCTCTTCAATATAATCATCGAGTCTAGAATCGCGAAGTGTGGTATTCTCCGCAGACTATGAATCTGTAGACCAACATATCGTTGTCTTATGGCGGCCTTTTATGCATTTTTGATATTTGTCACTAAGGACATGCCTCGTTGGTCCATCTTGAGAAATTGCTGCTTTCTCGGCACTTGGAACGTGTGTCGTTAAGAATGAAGTGTCACGCGAAATCAACTGTCGCTTTGGAATCACCCGGTGCAATATATCAAGCTGGCCCCACTCAACGCCCATCAAAGTAAAGGTTTCTACCAGGTCAAGAACAGCTAGAATCACAATACCGAAGGTACATGTATAGAACCGAGACTAAGCTCTGAGTCCCAGCTTTTCTGTCAATCATAGCGGTTCCGAAGGATGCGACTGACTAGTCCAAACACGCAGTAAAGCTCATATATGCAGTGAGATCAGTAAGCGATCTTATTCAGGGTGTAGAGCAGAACTGGTTTCTTAATAGATGGAGTGCTGGCTATTAAGATTATTCCTTTTGGCTCTAATAACATAGCGGATTATCATGATTGCCGGGTCATAGACCATCACTCGATATGAACAGAACGCTTTTCTTTTTTTTCTTTTTTTTTGTTTAATTCATTCATTGCATGCAACCTTACAGTTATGGCAATATCGCACTTCTTATCCTGGACTTCCGAGCACCGGAGCTATATTGGGTTATTATTATATAACCTTCGTAGGAGGGGATATTGTAGATGGCCGTCACTATCCACTGGGAGTAGGAGGCTATATTGTCGGTGATATCTGGAGCAACATGGGTTATGTGCTTATTTACCTCGGAATATCCGGAAAGTAGCGAAATCCCGTAAAATTCGCCTACATAACTACCGAGTCTATTATAAATCTACATTCCGGACGCCAAACTCGCCCGGGAGAGTGCTATTACTTCGGGCGGTACTGCCGCGCATTCGTGGTGTGCCAATTACAAAACGGCACAATACTTGGGTCATGTTCTCACTTGTCACACCAAAACATCCCGACAGCACTGCATGTCGTTGCATAGATATCGAGGGTTAGGGTTTTTCCTCGCGAAACGACGAAACATCATTTTACACAAAATAAACAAAATAAGAGATACCCTATTAAGAAAAAAACCGCTAGGACTTTTCCAACACAGTCTTGAAACCTTGCATATGCGCTTTACGCCGCTTATCTCACCCCCTCCTTATTCCGAAATCTCGAACCTACAAATTGCCGTGAGTAAGCAACACCCAAACTCACCAACGCGACCATGGGCATTATCTGGAGCAAGACATGCACTCACCCCAAACGACAACACTGCTAGTTTGCTACCTTCCAGGTTTGTATTTCGTCATGTTGAAACGCTATCGAGTCCATCTTCACTTTACTGACTTCACAGGATGAATGAGACTACACGCTTCTGAGCGTCCCTATCTATGGGTATGAAAATTATGTCCCAGCAGGCCTCCACCCTACTCTCAGCGTTTTCCTTTCAGACCCGGTAGCAAGCAGATTGTAGAATATCCCCGTCGGTTGTGTCGTCTATTCTTCACCGGAGTGAGGGAGGCTACGGGGGTGTGGTTGTGGAGGTAAAGTAGTGGGAGGGCAAATACCCAGAAAGAGCTTCAAAAGACTCAAAACACACCACAGAACACCGCCAGAAAATCGAGAGAATTGATACAGAATACATCTAGTCATATACATAGTCCTCATAGACGACGGGAGAGTCATTCAACAGAACTCCACGACAGAACTCCGCAGTAGGAAAATGTCCCCCCTCCCCACCTTTAAAACCTCACCCATGAACCAAACAACCCCACCCACAGCTCAAAGCTACAGCACCACAATCCAACCCACCGCGGACACCGCAAAGACATAAAAACAAGAACAATAGCACTATCCGCCCGCCCACTAAACGTTGTCACAACCCATCCACCCCAAACCACAACACCACAACACGACGTCGTCTCCCACTGGTATTTGACGGTATAGAAGCGGAAATAAGCATAAACCAGTTTATTAAACTGTTCTCCCATTCGGACAGACGGTTTGCTCCTATCGATCTATCGTAACCCTAGCCCTGGAGCTCACCCTTACCCATTTGTAATTGGAAGCTGTGGATCTAGCGATTTGGGACAGTAAGCCAGTCATTTTAGAGCCGAGATCTGGCGTATGGATTTAGACTCTTGGATCTACTGTGCCTTGCCAATATTTCTCGTGTGTATCTTTTATTTTGTTTTGGCGGGGGAGGTGGTGGTGGGGTAATTGCATACTCACTAGGACTGATTGTCATTCACTTTGGCTCCGGTACATAAAATCGATTCCACGGGTACTAATCCAGCTTAAATACATCTAAATACAACTCCGTAACCGATTTTTCGATTTCCACGAACCCCTCTCCCCCGCCCGACCTACTGAGATTGTAGGTATCTTAGGAACTGGGTTGTTTACTTGAAATGACAGATGAAGACTTCAACATGTGTAGAGTATCTCAGATCTTAACCAATCGGAATTGCCTTCTCCGGCTCCTCACTTAATATGGCTAGTATTTTCCCCATCCCCAGCTCCTTTGCGTAATCCAAACACGTTCTGCCTCCGAGATCAGGTATTGTGGGATCAGCTCCCGCTGCAAGGAGTACCCTTAACGTGACTTCATTATTCCCTCGCACTGCCCCATGGAGTAAAGGCATGCGGTCAGTATCTGAATTACTGTCGAGGACGGCCTTCATAAGATTTTCGCCTCCAGACATCGCCACGTGGTAATGGAGGAAAGAATTAGTGCCGATCGCGTTCGTGGTAGTCCAATACGATATCATATCTTTAAAGATCTGAGGATCATCCAAGTGGAGTAGGGCCGAAAGTATCCGCCTACCCTCAAGGGACATCCAGTGGCGTCGGTCTAGGGGAGGTTCGAGATGGCCGAGATTCGGATATCGCCACTCGTTAAACAGTAAATCATGTTTCATAGGAACCCGGATCTTGTATATACTAGATTCCTCCGCCAGCGGCTTATCTGAAAGTTGAAAGTCGGTGAAAGGTAAAGAGAATACTGAGGTGTTTGACCCAATGGAGAAGGTGGACCACTGTGTCCCACGACGCTGCGAAGTAGACAAGGAGAATGATGAAGGCATGAGCATATCACGATTGCGGTAGGGGCGGCTGTTTCGAAGTAAGGCTGTGAAGGACATTCGTGACACTACCGACATGATTGATGTTGAATCAGAGCAGCGCACATCTGTGCTGGTCCCTAGATGGGTAGGTAGGCGCTCGATCTCAGATGATGAGGGCTCTAGATCGGCGGGGGAGGTAGGGGGTGTAGCCAGAGCCGGGATGGCCTTGGTCACTGTTGTTAGAGTTTCGAGAATGTCGTTTAGAGAATCCACCATGCTTTCTGCTTCAGCTGAGGACTCACTGCATTGGTTATTAGATGATTATGTAGTTATAGACTAGATAGGGCGCTTTCAAAGTTTCCTTACCTCATCCATATTGTAAGAAGTAATGTTAAAGTCGCCTTATGTTGCTGGATACGTCTTACGAGGATAGTGAGATTTGAGTTCTCCCATGTCCAGCGGAGTCGGCTGTAAACACTCATTTCTTTAACTGGCGCCTTGGGGAGCTCATATGCATGTGGTAACGTCGCCACAACAGGCAACTTTTTAACCCGCTTCGGCATTAAACCATCAATTATCCTTTCTAGCTGCGAGAAGGTTAAAGTGCAGGAGGCGAGTGTGACCGCCAACTGGGTGGCGTCGGTCGCCATTGCTCCCAGCGGAGTCATTTCCTCCCGTTTCGATATCCTAGCACGAAGTCTTGTTAGGGCGTACTCGAAATCACGCACTTCCGCGAGGATCTCTTGCGCGATATCGGGCGCATTAGTGCAGGCGGATATGAAATTGTCTATGGTCGTGTAGGCGGTAGAAGCCGCGAGGAGGAGACCCACAACTGATGCTGCGACATCCATGTTGATGGTCGGCGATGTTGGTTAGCATTCCGGAAAGGCTGCGGAACCCCGCTTGCCAGTTGTCCCAAGCCACAAGACCTAACCCCAACTCATCCCGATTAGTCATTCGCCAAGAACTACAAAGCGGGAAAGCAGAACTGAGGTTTACTAGGACTCAACATCGAAACTACATATAGCCAACAAGCTGCAAAAAACATGTAGATTTATGACAATACAAAGTGGGGACCATAGTTTTGGCAAGAGATATTATGGATGACTACTTGTATTGCCTATCCTTTTATCACCATTGTTAGTCGGAAGTTGTCCCTTTTATCCCATGGACCGTAACGACGTAAAAAGATTCGAAATCGCAACCACACAATATCCTTTGTGTTATCATGGTTAGCCCTTCGACTGTATCTATCAAAATTTAGTGGGGAAAGTGATTTTTTTAATGTGTGTATTGTAGGATGCTTGGATGACAGTTGGTAACAAATCTGAATATGATTGAAAACCCCTCTTTTTTCTGTTTTATTTGATGAAATCTGGTGATAGGAGTGATTTTTTGCAATAAAAAGTCCCCAACCCGTACAAATTCTGCAGCCATCTTGCTTGAATGCTTTAGATCTGTATGTAGAATGATATTGCCTACTCAGTTAATATATCGAAGTTCACCCTTGGGGTAAAATAGTAGAAATTACAGACGAAAAATATTGTAACTACATAGAAGTATTATTTGCACTGTGGCGGTACTGAATTACATGATGACGTTACTCCAAAAAATTCTATAGAGCCATATTCTGCATAATTCCCATAAAAATATGTAAACAATAATGGTTAATGTAAAATGGGAATGCAGCTGTATGGGTCTGTTTTTCTGAAACCAGGAGCATATAGCCCTAAATCAACTATATAAAAAAGAGCTAGTTCTTAGTGGCTGTGGTTGCGAAGTTATTGTGATATATGTGAATTTCCGGTTTTTGTATGGGAAAAAAAGGGTTTACTCTATAAGAGATAAAGCCACCAGGAGGGAGCAAATCATTGATTCTAAACAGTCCCAAAATACCTATCTATGTCACTCTACTAGCTCCCGAAAACAGGCTGATATTGACAAATGTAGTTAGGAAATTTCCCCTACTCATTGTTGTCAATAGGTAAATTAAGGACAAATATGTCCCCAAATCGTTAGGTTACGGTCCATGGGATAGGCTAAGAATTCCAAATTAATGATTTGAAAAACGCAGACTCCTGTGTCATGTGTATGGCTAGGATATTCATCTTATTCAGGCGTTGTGTTGAGTTAAAGCATTGAAATCTGGGTGCCTTTCTGTGTTGTTAGGTCAAACGTTGCATCACTTTTAGTGACCCCCGTGTACATAACTCTGTCTAGACTGGTCGGGTCCATTCGTTAACCTGATGCACGCCCTTAACCTTCATCGCTTAAACAATCATAGAGAAGCGGACGGATGGAGCTGTCGCGTGCCCAGCCCTCGGAAGTAGGCGCCCGCTCTTCCGAAAAGGCTTCTCCCTTCTCCGGAGGTACAGAAGCCTGGCCTCGGAGTACGCTGTGGATATAGCGCTCTGGCTGTTTTCCCGGGGCTGTTACTCACATGATTCCGATAGAAATGGGTTTCAGCTATGGCTATCAAACAACTATACTTGAATGAAGCAAGAAGGGTTTCGTGGACATTGTAACTTTGTGAGATTAGTATTGGGATTGATTGGGAGGCTTTGCCGTGTTACTATCTCGTTTGTAGCGAGAAATTGTTATGTGAGACATGAACCAACGAGACCACCAGGTGCACGACGTACAGCACTACGAAAAGGTCATCACCGTACGCACCGGTACCGTCCACCACCCCGGAGTTGATCAGCCTATCTCTCAGTTAACTCAGAAATAAACAGCCAAGTCCAATCGAACGAAGATATGAGGTAGATACAAATCTCGACAGAAATCCAACCGGCAAAACCTTTCCGGCGAATGAGAAGTACCTCCGGAACGATCGAGATGGCACCCCCGAATTTTCTGCGTCGATAGCATGAGGTGTGAAAGCCAGTAACATTATTCTAGGGTCTTTCCCGAAAGTATCGCCGTACGGATAAGATGCTATTATAAGCGCTAATGAGCTCCGCGGATTAGCCAGGCCAAGCACTATATCCACAGACGCAACAGTTTTGACTTTGCTACGCCGATGAGACCCCCGTGCTCCGTAGAAAACAGACCTCATTGGAGGAACCGGAACACACCCCCGGTAAAAACGTCAGAAAACAGCCTGTTATATAGAGAAGGCATAAGTCATCACCCGATTTCTCAACCACGGCCACTTGCCCGTCACACTGGAGTCATAAAATATCACTCGTGACCCAAATCATATCCGATGTTCGGAACAAAAGAATAGAAAAGCGGAAGAGCTGACCTTCTTGATTGGCCATTTAATGCCCCTTTTATACAAAAATATCGATGCCAACGAGACTGAAAACATGGCTGCATGTTGACATCTATTGCCAGACTCTGACAGATTTTCCAAATACTATGTACCAATCCCCCGTTGCACCTCCCTTATGTATCATCACTCGTGACCTTCACCATGAACACGCACCCAATCCCCAACCACAGCAAGTCATCTGTTATATTGCTGTCAGGTATTGCCACCCGGAACCTTCACTACAAACAATCACCCGATGCTTGGGTCATGCCGAGTCACCCGTCGCATCCTTGATCACACATTATCACTCGCTGTTCAAATCTTGAGGAACCATTGTAAAAATGGGGCATTGCGACATCGGTTATGTATGGTAATTACTCATGTATAAGGGATGACTCATAGTTGGAACAAGGAGGCTTAGCGCTAGGATTATGTAATCAGGGGATCACGTGGTACTAAGAACTATCTGTATATAAGGAGTAACAAACTCCCATAGTTGTCGCTGGAACTCAGCGGCGCAATAGTATCTTCTTTGCACTATAAACATAGTCCTCACAAAGGTCACGTGTTCAAACCCTCCTCAAGTCGTCTATTCTCCCACACTCCAATCCACAACCATCACAGTTTCCAAGCACAGCAACTCACCCGCCAGATTGTTCCTCACACACTATCACTCATGCCCCCATCACAACACATCACCTGAGACACCAATCATATCGACTCACCCGTTATAGTCGAGTCATGGAATATCACTCGCCTTCCACCAATCAAAAATCAACACCCGCTCACGTGCTGTCACATACTCCTTCATCACGCTTTATCACTCGGAGTCTCAATCACAGTCAATCACCCGAGTCTTGGCCATCATAGTCCGTCACCCGGATCTTGGCGTCACGTGCCATCACTCGAGGCGGGAAACATGGAACGTCACTCGCAGCGCGTAACGTGAACTGTTACTCGCGGTCTGGAGCACCATTGATCACCTGGTACGGAGTGCAGGGGTAAGCGGAATACCCCGTATTATTACTGAGCGGTCTTCCTACGGCCGCTAATTATGATTACAACCCCGGAAGTCTCCCGGGAATGATATCTTTTCCATGAAATCCATTCATGTCCGCATCCGCATATCTCCCAACTAATTATCACATCCCAGTATAACTAGGATAAGGGGTGGGAAAGGTAGCTCTTCTGCAGTGGTGTCTGTTATCCTTCACCCCTTTGTTCGTCTTCACAGAATCATAAGCTCTCACTCGCCCCTCTTGGCGTCACGTGCGCACACCGCGCACGAGCCGGAGGGGCATCAACGATCATGCGCCATTTCCAGCTCTCTCCACTGCGCAGTGCCGAACCGCAGAAAAGCTCTATAATGCCCCAACAACGCATTACATACCTCCCCGGAAGTGCTGCCGCACATGATCTTGTCCCCATTAATGGCATCCATCTCCGCGCGCGCCCGCCTGCCTGTCTCCCACACCAGCCCACCGACCAAAAGCAAAATTAAAGACCCTCCCCATTCCACCGCAATCCGCACCACCCCCACGCCCCCCGCCGTCCTTTCGTATTCCGTATTCACAAACGCTCACTCGCTCTTGGCGTCACGTGCACTCACTCGGCGCGAGGGGCATGAATTATCACTCGTTACTGGAAGAGCCAATTACCGAAGGTATAAGCGGTGACAGAACGCCATATAACCCCAAGAGTGTCCCCCGCGAGTACTATACAATTAGTCCATGATAACGCGATCTCCAAAAAAGTAGCTAATTCTAATTACATCCAGCAGTCTCCCCTCCACCCGCTCCCTCCCCAGCCCTAGCCTAGTGTATCCGCGGCCACCAATCCACACCCGCCCAGCTCCACCACGAGCGTAGTACCAGAGCGGAGCTCGAAAAAGAGTACCTCCACCACGATTAGTTACCGCTCTGTTATACTCTTCACCTCTCTTCTCTTCCCCGGCACCAGCTCCGCCGGCCCACCCCGCCGCATCCCTCAAAATGTGTCGTCTACTCCACAGACACTCCCACACTAGACACGTAGCTACCTGTAGGGCAGCATTTCACAGTCCATCCATCAGCCTGTCAACGAGCACGTGGCCTATCACCTCTCGCCCAGTGCAGCCAGCGCCAAGACGGCCAAGACCCGCGCCACACCCGGCGGCGAAGCGACAAAAATAGCAGCTGTGCTGTTTGTAGAGTTGAGTGGCGGCCCTTGCCGATGATGTAAGAAGCTTGAATGTCTGTTGCTTGGTGCTAGTGCGTTGTGTGGTGTTTATTCTACGGGTTATGGGGTGGGTGTGTGTGGCTGGGGGGCCCCCAGGGGGGGGGGAGCAGAGGGTACGTTAGGGGGTCGGATCGGGGGGGTGTCTGGTTGTAGTCTCTAGAGGATCCTAGCTACGGCACCCCCTAATCCACCACACCTATCTTCCTACGCCCAAGACAATCCTCCACCAGAGAGAGACGTCAAGCGCCAATAGCCTGAGCCATGATCCCCTCCACAACCTTGAATGTTTGTGTGCCATGACCGCTCTATGGCAGCTGCTATGGACCGGGGCACAGCCCTCGGCCGGCTGTGAGGAATGCACCTTCCTCCGGCCGGTGGGCATCTCGGCAACCACGCATTCCAGCCAGCAACACCGCCAGAACGCGTCCTCCGGGCTGAGATAAAAAGGCCCTTCTTCTTCCCTATTCCCTCCTGCCCCGTGCGTCACCAGGCGTCCTCCAAAGCACACATACACACTCTCTTTCATCCACGCACCCAGGCCGGTCCGAGTGCCCCCATTCAAACCACACAGCCACACAGCCATGCAGCTCCCCCTCCTCCCCCTCCTCCTGGTGGCGCTGACAGCCACATCCTCCATCACCCCCAAGCCCCCCCTGCTCCAGGGCACCGCGCGCGGCTCTTCTTCCCCCACGAAGCGCCGCCGCCCGCCTCCCGTCCCCCCGAGGCCCCGCAAGCTCAGGGCCCCCAAGCGCGGCGCCTCCGCCCCGCCCCGCACACCCGCACGGCCACGGGCCTCCAAGGGCCGCGCCTCCAAGGGCCCCGTCCCCGCAAAGGCCACCGCGTCAACGGGAAATCCCGCCCGTAGCGGCACTAGAAAAGGCGGTGACGGCGGCGGCCGCGCGGGGAATCCTGCGCATGCCTGCCCGGTGCGTACCCGCGAGGCACAGGAGGCTCTGGATCAATGGGCCGTTCTGTTGAGCGTGATGGGCGCGGACGGGGGCCGCGGACGTGTCAGGCAGGGGGGTGGCGGATATGATGGGGGGCGGGGGTGGGGTGGGTGGTGTGGTGTGGAGTCCGTGGTGTACGTACATGTCGCGACGTATATATGCGTATGGGCATCGGTCTGGGATAGAGGAACTTGGAGCGTGATTGTGCCTACATCCGTATATACGTGTGGAACGACCGTGATGAAGCCCTCGGGGGACGAACGGTTCGCAATGATGGTGTGATGGGGGTGTGGCGATATGTATCTGTTCTCCTCCGGTGGGTGGCATAGTGAGTAAGTACTACGTAGAGCACGATATCATGACTATCTCTGGGTGAAAGCATGTATAGGGCATAGTCATATCAGTACACTACGGCACTAGTAGTAGTAGTGGCCCACCTCGCGACCGCGGGGTTCCTCCCGCCTGAAAATCTCCTCCTCCTCCTTCTCTGCGTGGTAGTTTGTGGGCTACCTCTGCGTATACATTACATATACATGTAGCTAGTAGTTGCCCACTTCCGGCCGGTTGTGAGTTAATTTTAGCATTATAGTCTTCGAGAGTATCTCATAGCCAGGACGAGCGCTCCCGTAAACGTCTACGTCTTCCTGTAGTGACCCCGGCGTTATTTCAATTTCAATGCCAGCTCCAGTTGACGCCACTCCGATATTACTATCCAGTTAATGAGTTGATTCGGCATGCCCGTGTCACTCACTGCCTGTCCGCTCCCACCTAATCTTTCTGGGGTGAGCCGGTTGCGATACAGGTTCCGCTTCCTAAACCACCCCTGCCCTGCCGCTGCCGACCAATCGGAGCGTTGATGCAGTACTTCGGGGGCGGGGATAAGTGAGAAGGCACGGCCCTTCACGTAACCTCGGCAGGGTGGTGTACCCCCGCTTACCCCTATATATCCCCGAAGTACAGAGTAGAGAGTGGATACATCCTGTCCTCTGTATATCACCGATAACTGCATGTTGTCGACACAATCCTCGAGCCTTGGCGCATTCCGATCAACAGTCTCCTAGCTCGGCCCCCCAAAATGGTTGGACTAGGACTGCTAGAGAGCTTGTCTCGGCGGGGGCGAGCCTCGTGCCACCGGTGAGCAGCACAGCCGGCCGCTCGGTCGGTCGCGAGGGAGGAGGAATGTGCGTACTAGTACATGTCCGGCATCCCGAAATTCCTCCGGCCCGGTGAGTGGCTAGCACCTCGGGCACCGTGCATTCCAACCAGTCGGCCAGCCAGCGACACGGCCAGCGACCGACACAGACAGAGGCCTGCACCAGAGATAGGCACGAGGCCGGGCGAGAATATATAGTATAAAAGCCCTTCTTCTTCTCACCTCATTATTCCCTCCTCCTTCATTGCATTCGTTAGAGAAGCTTACATACACACACACACACTCACTCATCCACGCACTCAGGCCGGTCCCAGTGCCCACATTCATTTACACCGCATACACAGACACACGCGCTCATTCACTCACACGCACTCAATCAGCAGTACCCGCATTATTGTTCTCCCAGCCTCCCCCAGCCACACAGCCACACACAGCCACCGCCATGCAGCTCCCCCTCCTCCTCCTCCTCCTCGCGCTCAGCGCCACCACCTCCGTCACCGCCCACGCGCTCGCCGCCCCCGCCGCGCCCCACCGCGTCCCCAGCCGCGACCCCGACCAAGGGCAGAACCCCATCCCCATCCCCATCGTCCCGGCGCCCCCGCCCGCGCCGCCGTTCACAGCACCGATCATCACCAGCCCCGAGCCCGCGGACGGCTCCCCGCCAATCATCATCGATGCCTCCCCGGGGTTGCGCAACACCCCCAACAGCGCCCGGGGGGGCGGCCGCCGCGCGGCGCCGCGGGCGAGGTCACGCGCTGCCGCCGGCGCGGGCAGCGCCCGGAGGAAGGCGGGCACACGCGGCCGTACGCGCAGCGGTGGCAGCAGGCCTGCCGCATCGAGGGGCGTGAAGGCGAGGCCGAGGGCGGGGTCGCCGAAGGGGAGGGCGGGGAGCGTGCGCGCGGTCAGGAAGGGGAAAGCGGCGGGGCGCGGGGGGCGCAAGTAGTGGGTTGGGTGGTGTTGGATCTGTACCGGGCAATTGCAGAGCGATCATAGATGGTTACGGTTACCCTGGCTAGAACCGGCGGTAAATGTTTTCCAAAAGGACTTCCATGTACAGTAATCATTGGGGCGTTTTTGTCGCCAACAAGATTTCCTTTTCGGTCACGGTTGGGAAAGAATGCCTCCCCTGCTTTGGATCTTGCGAGAGGTGGCGGGGGGGCGGTTGGGTAGGTAGGTCGGGCAGGGGCTTATGTAGTGCGATATTGCCATAACTCATGTGAGGTTGCATGCAATTAGTGAATTAAACAAAAAGGAAAATGAAAAAAAAAGATTGCCTCCCGCAATCTGATGGATCGTTTCCAATGTGGGTGCATCTTTGGCAATTGTCGGCTTTTTTTTTTTTTTTTTTCTCGGGACGAGTGGCGTTTAATTAAGGGCGGCTGTCACGCAAAACCAACTGTCGCTTTGAAATTGCCCGGTGTAGTATGGATGATTAAATTGTACAAGCGTGCGCGGGGGGTCACTGTGTGGGGGTGTTCGCCGCCAAGATTTGGGGGGGGTGGGGGTGTTTGCTGGGTGTTCGCCCAAGTGCAATGAAAATAGTAGGACTAGGACTCACTAGAGCTTGGCCCAGTAGGTAAATAGGTAGTTCCCCTGTCAAAACGGTAGGACTAGAGCTCATCTCGGCAGGTTTCCAACGGTGGAAACCGGTTCTGGTACAAGCCAAAACCGCACCAATCACTAAATCAGTGAAGTCCAACCGTGCCAACCGTACCAAGTACCTCTCTTGATTTTTGAACCGAGTTAACCGTCTAAACTGTGGTTCCATGTCTTGGCATACATACCATGAAAAGCGCCCGCAGAATGGGTGTTCATGTTCTCGAAAGGGTGTTTGAGCGCAGGAAATTGGGTATTCCAGCTGACTAAGTAGGGTGTTGTTGTTGGAGCTCAAGAACAGGGTTCGATGAACCGTTTAAACCGTCGGTATAGCCAGTTTTGAAGATTTCTGGGCCGTTCAAAGAATGTATTGAAATATCTCAAGAACTGCACCGACGTCAAGTTAAATGGTTCAGTTCAACGGCTTTGAAGCAAAGAACTGGCAAACTACCGGAAACACTGTGTGTCGGCAGCGTTTGCAATGAAACGTCGGTTTGGCGGTACAGACCGGTCAGTGAGTGTTCAGCAAAGGGTAGTAGGGTAGGACATAGGACTACAGCTCGCGATGTCCGCGGGAGGGGGGGGGGGGGTGGGGGCGAGCCTCACCGGTGGGAGCACAGCCTCTCGGTCGGTTGCAAGGAGGGGGGATGTACTACATTTCCACCCATTCTTCCGGGCCGGTGAGTAACAGCTCGGGCACGCATGCGAACCAGCTAGCCAGCCACCCACGAGGCCGGGCCGACAGATATGAATATACATATAGATAAAAGCCCGTCTTCTTTGCTCTTGATTCTCCTGCTTCGTTCGGTTCGTTCGCTGAGTTTACACGCACACACGCTCACTCATCCACACAGCACTCAGGCCGGTCCCAGTGCCCACATTCATTCGCACCCCATACACACACACGTGCGCTCATTCACACACGCATTCAGTCAGCAGTACCCACCCATTGAGCAACCACCCACACACAGCCACACACAGCCACACAGCCATGCACCTCCCCCTCGTCCTCCTCATAGCACTAACCGCCACATCCTCCGTCACCGCCCGCGCGCTCCAGCCATCCTCGGCCCCCGGCCCCCATCCAAGCCTCCACACCCGCCAGCTGCGACACCCCATCCCCGTCATCCCGCCGCCCCCGCCGCCCCCGCCGTTCCCTCAACCAATCATCACGGACGTCGAGCCCGCATCGGACGGCTCCTCACCGATCATCATCGACGCCTCCCCGACCTTGCGCAGCCCCCCCAGCTCCCCGGGCGGTGGACGCCGCGGTGCGCCAAGAGCTGGGGTGCGCGGAAGTGGTAGAGGGCCCGGCGGGCAGCGCAGCGCATCGCCGCGCGTAGGCTCAAAGAGTGCGAAGGCGCGGCCGAGGGCGGGGTGGGCCCGGGCGGGGGCGCCGAAGGGGGGCGTGCGCAGAGTCAAGAAGGGGAAAGCGGAGATGAGGGCGGCGGCGCGACGGGGTCGGCAGTAGTGGGTGGTGGTGCATCCGTAGTGTAGTGTAGTGTAGTGTAGTGGTGGTGGAGTAGCGGGAGGGAGGAATTGAGAGTGTTGATTGTGCCCTGGAGTTGTAGGTGCGGATTGTTTTGTCTTGCGGGCTGTCTTTATGTATAGCATATCTAGTGAAGGGGTATCCTGTCTAGTGGACGCTTCTGATATTCTGAATATCTGCTGGGCGGGCGGCCCCATTCGCCGGACGTTTTGAGGGACAAAACTCATAGGTATAAGCAAGTACATCTCTTCCTCGCAACGTGTACCACCTATCATTGCCAGTAAATAAGACAAGTTCGTGCAACCCAGATGAGTCGTGATGTAAATGTAGCAATGATTATCGATATGAGTAGGATCTGGATGGTGCTAGGGTATCCGCACATACACATCTAGCTATTCTCCCTATCACCATTTCGGCGCGTTATAGCAAAATGTCCTGCGGATATGTAGTGACGGTGATATGGGACAGAACAACCGCACCCGTTCGCGACCTGCGTAACCCTGGACCCATAGTTCCTACCACAGGAACGATTGACTCTCACCCGCAATTTCAAGCACCCCCAGGCACCCGATGCCCAGCTCTAGTTAAATGTCCAAGGGGCCGTCCCGGCGCGGCCACCGCGCTACCGACCGCCGCGGAAGCCCTCCCGCGCATTATCTCCTTTCTTTTAATTTATCCATCTACTCACGCGCCCCAACACAGGAATCAAGGCACAGTGCAAAGCTGCCTATTCCACCGCCAGCCTCTACTATATCCCACTCCACCTCCGCGTCTGTCTCCTCCCTCTAATCACGAACCCTCACTCGCCCCTTGGCGTCACGTGCGCTAGCTATGCGCGGCATGAACCATCACTCGGCGTTGTAGTGCCACCAACCACCGAGGCACGGAGATCCAGTATCCTCTGCCAACCCAGCGATTTTCCGCTACATCCATCAGCGAGCCCATGACGCCACAATCGGGAGAACCACCAAGCCACGGCACGCCAAGCCCCGCGCCGCCGGCGGTCATGCGGCGTAGATGGGGCTTGGTAGGTGTCGGTGGGCGATGAGATAAGACGTTGGAATGTTGCGGCGGACTGGCTCGTGGCGCATCAATGTTGTGGTGCAGGCATTGAAGCACATGTGTTTCAACACGTTCCGGCGGATTCATTACGTGGTCGGCCTTGGGGAAGTGGGTGGTGGTGGTGGTGGTTTCTGGAGGCTATAAAACAACGCTGCAGCACCCGCCTCGCCACGCTTCTCTCCCTGCGCCCGAGACAGTCAGTCCCTTGGTGGGAGTGGCCGCGATGCACCAATAGCAGGAAGGCGTCGCTAGACTTGGTCTTTCCCCATCCCTTCTTACACTCACGCGCCATGACCGGTCTGGGGTCGAGATTCGTGGTATTCGGATATGGGCGACACCGGTGAAGAGTACGTGCTCGGCTGGTGGCGCGGAGTGCCCATGGTTCCGGGCCGGTGAGCACCTCCGGCACTGCACCAATACCAGGCAGCTGGCCGGAATGCGCCATGCACAAGAGTGCGGGCCGATGAGATAATATAAAAACCCCTTCTTCTTCCTCCCTCCCGTCCTCCGTTACCAAAACACCACACTCATCCATCCCACTCAGGCCGGTCCTACCCACATTCATTTCCACCCCCCCACACACAACAATAACAATGCAGCTCCCCCTCCTCCTCCTCCTCGTAACCCTCACGACCCTCTCCTCCGTCACCGCCCGCGGCCCCCCGCCATCCCACCACGCCAGCATCACCCCGCGTAACCCCCACGCTAACCCCTACGCCGCCCCCGTCCCTGTCCCTGTCCCCGGCGCCGGCACGCTCCTCCGCCGAGCCCCAGCCCCCGGCATCCCACTATACAAGAAAGGGCGCTCGCGCAGCCCCTCCCCTCGCGGCCGCGCCTCCTCCCCCCGTCCCAAGGCGGGCAGCAGCTCGCGCTCACGGTCCGGGACGCGGCAGCGCAGTGCGTCGCGCCGCGTCGGCTCCCAGAGCGCCCGCCGCCCGGTGTCCGCCGCGCGGCGTACAAGGGCGGGCGGCGCGGCGGGGACGAGGGCGCCGCCGAGCTTGCAGAGGGAGAATCAGGATCCGCAGAGGTTGGCGGGGATGGTGGCGGAGGGGGGTGGCGCGGGAGGGAGTGGTGCGGTGGGAGGGAGTGGCGCCGCTGGAGGGAGTGGTGCGGCGGGAGGTAGTGGTGCCGCGGGGGGGAATGGTGGGAGTGCCAGGAGGGTGGGGGAGAGGAGGGTGCCGACGTTGGGGAGGGAGGATGCCACGGTGGGGCAGAGGTAGAGGGAGGAGGGCGAGGGAGATATAAGGCAGGGGGGGGTGGCGCGGGGTGTGGAGCCGGTTAAGGGAAGATAAAGATTGGGAGAGAGGTGAATGGTGTATAGTGTATGTACCCTTTATTTAATAGATCTGAGCTTGAGTCGAAAAGCAGTAATGCAGCACGATACCCCCGGCCCCACAAACCAAAACCCGTAGAAAGCAAGCCTGGCTATCATATGTAACAAGCGGAAAAGAGAAAGGAACAATCCACCTGTGTTCTGACCTAATTGAGGACGCTACCCGCCGACATGATATCGTCAATGGCCTGCCCCGTCCACAGACAGCCTGTAGTGGCTTACAGACGGGTAGACTATTCAGAGATACCGCATAAAATACCTGCCCATATCGCAAACGATATACAAAACCGAAGGTTCGGTACCCTCATAGATATATATGTCTATATACCTAATTTTTCGGCAATGCACTCGCGCGCTAACTAAATAAGTTTATTCAGTCGTTAATTAAAGGGCAAAGGACTTTTATGCCATGGCTTTTAACGAAAAATGACTCGCATACCACACGGAAAATGTTTGAAACATTAGACCAAGGTTTCCAGTGATTTACCGGTTTTAACCGGTTCAACGCAACCGTTTAAGTTAACAGTTGGTCCAGTTCTTCTCGCCCTCAATACATGGTTTGAATTGTGTCTGCACAACCGGTTATTCCGACGGTTTAAACGGTTTGTACAACTCATGTTCGTAAGTTCGAACACCCCAGTTCCTGAGCTCGAGCAGGTCAGTTCCAAAGCTCGAACACGCTGTCCGAGAACATGAACACCTATTTTTAGGACTGTTATCACGGTGAGTATGCCAAAGCATAAACCGCAGTTTAAGCGGTTAAACCGGTTGAAAGTTCCAGTGTTCCTAAAGGTCCCGTCCGTCCGTTTTGGGGTGCCGGACTGAACGGACGGCAAGATTGATCCGTCTTGAGAGGCGCTCTAGAACAGACTGCGCCCCGGGGGCACAGGACTGAAGACGGCCGTCATGACCGCCGGGCTCTTGGCATTGCTGATAAATTGCATTAGGGATAGAGGAGTTCTGTTGAAGTTCAGTATACAGATTTGAGAAGTACTTGGGAGAAGTGGATTTGGAATCATAGGTCGTGATTCTGCGGTCAAGCGCGGTCTTATGTAGTCATATGCAGTCATATGCAGTCATATGCAGTCATTCGCCGTCCCCCACCGTCCCAGACAGTCAACTGCAGTCAACTGTAGTCATTACCCTATAGGCATGTAGTTACAGGGCCCTGCAGGGCCCGCCCGTCATTTGCAGTCCCCTATTTCCAAGGACCGGACGGACTACCCCCTGCCGTCCGTCCAGTCTTCTCCTACATTAGAGGACCGGACGGGGCCCTGCAGGGCACCCGGGACGGCTAGGAACACTGGTTGAAACTGTCAAGATAAATAGTTAGTACAGTTGGCACAGGTTCAGCTCCTTGATTTAGTGGTCGGTGCGGTTTTGTCTTCTATCACAACCGGTTTCTACCATTGGAAACCTTGCATTAGACTCTGGTACCATTGAGCGTTGCTCCACCAAAGGTCCACAATGTGGACTACCGTTGTGCACCAAATGGCAGCGAGTCCTTTCGTTGCCAACAAGAGGGGGGGGGTATATATTCGTCAAGTTCGTGAAGTTTTGTTCAACTTGCCGACTATCAATGCACAAGAAACAACCTTATGTCGACAACCACATATATATAAAGAATGAAAGAAATGTCTGAGTACTGGACTGATTACATGTAATTGTAGTTGAAAACCATTGTATCCGGGTCTTTTATCCCTGGAACTCATGTCAACGAGACCTATTAATGGCATGCGAGTCTTTTGCCACTGAAACACGTGTTATGTAAGACGTACTGATGGTATCCGAGTCTTTAATAGTAAATTCGTGGTACGGAAGTCCTTCGCCCTTAATTAAAAGCTCGGAAATTTGCATAGGACAGCAACTTCGCCACGTTCACCGAACTTCACTTTCTCCTGGCCAGCTGCAACGGCGTCAAACCCATCTCCTCTCCGGGAGATCCCTGGTAACCCCCATCCACGCTCGCCCCGCCCAACACCCTAACGCTCGCCCCCTTCTGAATCAACAGGTCCATCATGGACTCCCTCGCCTTCTGTATCACACATTCATACAACGGCGCCCACCCCGTCCCTCTCCCGTCGCCCAATTCATCCACCCCCGCCCCCGCCTCCAGCAGTACCTTCAGCACCCCCACCCACCCCGCCCTAACCGCCGTCTGCAACGGCGTCGGCCTCCCCCTCACCCGCGCCCCCACCCACCCCGCCTCCGCCAACACCCCCACCATCCACGGCCTCTCCCGCACCGCATACAACATGGCATCCCCACCCCTTATCTCCCTCGCGGCCCCCTCCGCCACCAGCGCCCTCGCCACCCCTTTGTACCCCCCGCGCAGCGCATAAAACAACGCCGTACCCCCCTGGTTATACTCAAAGTCCGGGAGCGCCCCCCCACGCAGCAAGGCAGCCACACAGCCCTCGGCGTTCTGTGTCACGGCGTGATGCAGCGGCGTCGCGTGCTGCGGGTGGTGGGTGTTGATGCTGTAGCTTGGGAGCGCGGCAAACAGCGCGGTGAGCAGCGGCGCGTGGTCCAGCGTGATCGCGAGCGTCATGTACTTGGTCGTGAAGAAGGCGCCGGCGGCAAGGGCGCGCGAGAGTTGGCGGGGGTTGTTGCGGTAGATGGACCATGTCAGGACGTGTTCCGCGTGCTGCGTCACCGCGTTGTCGAGCTTGTGGAGGAACACAGAGTGGAGGTGCCGGCAGCAGAGGTGTAGGTGGAAAATGGTGCGGAGGAGGAGGTATTCGGCGATATCGAGGTGGAGCTCGGGGGGGAGGGAGAGGAGATTGGTGGTGGGGAGGGCGGGGGGGAGACTGGTGGGGGAAGACTGGCGGAGAGATGGATCGGGCCATCGAGGGGTAGGAGGGTGGAGGGGAGACCGGCGAGGGGAAGACTGGTGGGCATCGAGGGGGGGCCATCGAGGGGGAGGATGGCGGGGAGGAGGGGGGAGGGGAGGCCATCGGGGTGGAGGATGGCGGGGAGGAGGGCGGAGGGGAGCCCGGCGAGGGGAAGAATGATAGGGGTAGATACAGGCGGGAAGACTGACGGGGTGAGAGGGGGGGCCATCGAAGACGGGGAGAAGGAAGGTGCTGGAGATAGCGGTAAGGTCGGTGATGTGGTGTGAGTGGTCCGGCCGGGATTTGAGAGCCGGGGGAGACGAGGGTGGGGGAGGCGGTAGGGGGATTCCCAAACAGCGTATAGCGCCCACTGGAGGAGTCATAGAACGTCTTCGAGAGTTGAGTCGGGGCCAACACATTGCGGTGGGGGTAATCCCTTGCTCGGCGATTGTAGTTACTTGTTTGATGGGGTTGAAGTCTGGTGATGGTTTGCTCAGCTTTGTAGAATTATGGTGGTCGCACAGCTGAGAGCCACAGATCGGTTTGGAATGTGGCTGGTCAGTGGCTTGTTGTGTGGGCTGATACACGATTTATGAAAATATGTCGTAACAAAGTCCACCATTCCGCGAGGGCAGTGTTAAGAGATAACGTATAGCCTAGTGTTTCTAACAGTTGTAAACAGTTGTTGTTTCAGTAAAACCGAACTGAACTGAACTGAATAGAAATTGTCGAGAACTGAATGGAATTGTTTTTCCAAACAGTTGTAGAGAACCGGTTTGAACTGGTAAACCGACGAACCACGCTGGTAGTACTACAGTCGTGTCTCAGTAGTTTCCAGAGCCCTCCATTGGTAGTAGCCGAAACCCACCAACCCCGAGGGTGCGATTGTCCACACTGCAATATCAGTATAGAACAAGATGGAGACGGGGAAGATGACCATGTATACATATCGTAGAGTCCTGTGAGTTTACATGATGATTCAATTGTTTCATGGGAGTCCTTAGAAACACCTCCACACCTAAAGCACCAGCCAGCCACAACGGGACCCTCCCAAACCCCGCCATCACATTCAATGACTTCCCCACCCCGTCCAACCCAACTCACCGCACGTCCTCAGCGTACCGGTGAAAATAGCATGAATCTCACTTATCTCCCAGGTCTGGTGTGAGGGTCACGTGACGCCACCCCTCGTGGGTTATTTTGATTCCTAGCGATACTGATGTTGAGCGCTGGGGATGGCGTGGGGTGTGCGGTGCGAAGGATAGCTACTGCGAACGGAGCGCGAGCGGTGAAGACAGATGTGGAGCCTACGAGTGTTGGATACTCGTTTTCTTCTTCTTCGGAATGTCACGAGCCGGGGGTAGGGGTGGGTGGGACGATTGCGTCGCGTCGGCTGCTTAGTCATTGTGCAATACATGTAGTTAGTAACGGGGATGATGCACGTTTTGCGATCAGAGGTTGTGCTCGATATGGGCATGGTGCTTGTATTATGTAAGTCTTTGCCGCGGCCTGTCTGAGAAAATGAGAGTCCAGCCACGGAACAGCGAAGTTCAATCGTGTCACAGCACCTACTTATGTGCCACGACGTTGAACCGGGAGTCGGGCAGCAACGACATATCACCCCGAACTCGGCGGCCCGCTGCGGGATGGGCGGGGAGAGGTTCTACGCGTTGGTACAGGCGCTGGTGAATGGTTTCCAGCGGAGAGCAGTCTTCCTGCGGTGGTCTTGAATTCGTATACTGGTTACATATTAGCCACGACCATGGTGGCCCTCTGGTCCAGCGACGAGCAACGTCCAGCGGCGAAAATATCTGACTGGGTGTAATTGAAGACGTTTCTAGCGAGAGGAGAAGTAAGATGATCATTGCATTCAATTGATCTATCGAATGTAAGAGGGATTTGGCCCATACTCTATTTATAGGAAGACAGAAGGGGATGTTTGACACGTGTATGCTGTCTGGAAGACAGATACAAAGGAACACTTCAGACTGTCGTAACAACGACACGATCACCATGAACAAATACAGCGAGACAACAAAGCAAAGTTGTCAAAAACAACAGGTGTGCCTAGCAGCATTCGCCTTGAGATAGCCTGGAGACCGTGGGGTAGGCCTCTAGCATTGCGCTAGAATGGAACAACGGGTGAGGGTGGATGTTGGTGGAGTTCTGATCATTTTGGGGATACGGTTTGAACGGTTTAGAAATTCTCAGAACCTGTTATACCGATTGTTTAAACGGTCTTTACATGACGTGTTCGTATCCTCGAACACCGCACTTGGTCATCTGGAAGACCCAGTTCCTGAGCTCGAAGACCCTGGTCGAGACCCTATTTTGCGGAATCATGTTATGGTATTGGCATAATTCTAGGTTAATCACGAACGTGGTTCAGTCAAGGACGACCTGCTATTCCGGGCCTCAGCAAGCACCCACTAGACCTGTTAGGGATCAGCGTCGAAGACGTTTGAATAAACCTACTGACTTGTTAAAAGGGGAGGACAGTTCTGACAAGCCTGAAATATCCTATCAGAAGAGAGATTTGGGGTCCCGGCTGTTTTGGTTTGTTTTCAATGACGGCCTCTAGAACCGATGAGGTTTTTCCTCATTGGACTAATAGGGGTTGGGGTTCTTCTTATTGATTCCTATAATCGGATATCCGAGTATATCAATTTAAGCTCTGATAAAAGCACTCGTAATGTGGCATATTCGAGCGAATTACTGCCCGATTTGAACTCAGCTCGGGCTCAGACGCATGGATGTCATTGTGTCTTGCTGGTCGCGGGGGGTTGCTTCCTCGCCCTACTTATTATTCTCAATGTTCGGCTTTTAGTCTCACTCAGAATCTAAGTTGGCCATGGGCTCACCGTTCGGCAACTTCCCACAAACCAAACGGTCAACAGATAGTGTATAGAAATGACAAAGAGTATGTACCCTTCATCAACCTTGACGGGTAAGAGCGGTTGACAGAGTCGGCGGTCATATTCCACCTCAGCAGCCCACATCCGCCGCACCCCCGCACCTTTCGGGCGGCTAAAGACCACATCTCGATACCCACGATGAAACCACGTCACCCACCCACTGCCCCATCTCCCCCCCCACTACCCCACCACCCCACTCCCTTCCGCCCCTTCCTTATCACACCCATGAGCCCCACCCCCTCCAACACCCCCATCTGCCACACAATCCACGTCCGCCCCCCACCCTGCAATTTCGAAGCCGGTGCTGGTTTCTGCACGTATCCTCATCACATACACCCGACAGCACGTCCAATCCAAGTGACGCTATGGCCTCCAATAATACCCCAGACGTGAGCGGACGCGGCAACGAAGAGGATGGTGATAGTCCCGAGGACATCCTTGTCCCTCGGCCACCGAAACGCTCGACGATGCGGCCAACGCGAGGCAGGCAGAGGCAGAGGCGGAGGCAGACAATGATGGACGATTTGGTCGCTGGTGGCCGCGGACGGGTTAGTGGTGAGGGGGCTTGGGAAGAGGACATGATGGGCGATGTGGCGGCGCGGGCTCTGGGGGGGAAGCGGATTCTGAGGAGACGGGTGCGGCGGCAGAGGGGTGGGCGGCGCAGCGGGGACTATACGGTTAGTGGGGACAAAGAGTCCAGTGAGTCGCCGGTGGAGAGGCGTGGCGATACGGAGGTTGTTCCGTGGTATATCAGTAGTGGTGAAGAGCAGGAACACATGCAACATGTGAATCATGGAGACTCGGAATCTAGCGATGGTAGAAGGGAAGGGGTAATCGAACCGGCAGACGTCGGGGAGGGATTTGAATCTGCGGATGACAGCCCGGACTCTGGCTCGGACAGTGAAGACCATGGGACAAGTGATATCGATCTCCAATCAAGGGCCACCTCCCCCGCACCGAGTCTGGGGAACAAGGATGGTAGTATCTTTGACCTACCGGATAATTACGTGTTGCCGTCCGGCGCGGTACCAACAAAGAAAGAAAGGATAAAGGCACAGGACGAGAAGATGCTGGGGATGATGCGGTTCTTGAAGATGCGGAAGGCGGCGCTGTCGACGGCGGAGTGAGTATGGGTTGGGTTATTTGCTGCTTGTATAATTGGGTAATTTGATCTATTTGCATTAGGGAGATAGGTGGCTTGCTGTGATTTAACTTGGACTTTTCAATTGGAGTGCTGAGGGCTTGGTGATGGTTTTATATGGTACGGGAATACCGACAGTTTAGAAATTGCTTAGAAATATTCAGCGCTTGCTTATAATGGATGTTCTAGGATTGTTTTATTTTCCTACAGTTAACTTGCAGGCACGTGAATTAATAGCTGTTTCAACGCCACATCCAGCAATCCACTAGAGAAGCACTGCCTGCCAACCCATCTCTAGTCCATAGCAAAACCGTGTCATACCCTAAAACAGATCACCATATATTGTGATAGTTTTCTTCACTTAGTCTCGCACTAGAGACGTCCTATTTGGTATGAAATCTCTTTAAGCAGACCAATATGAGAGCGTTTCGAACGTTAGAGAGGGTACCAACTCATGGGAAGATGGGGCAGGCCGACTATAACGGCGGTTTATTGCGTTTGTACTAGCCAGCGTTGGTTTCCGAACTGTGATATGTCGCGGCTGATTATTAGCCACGCATCCCGGAAGCAGTAGCTGGCCGGTGGTGGGGGCGGCTAATACCGAGAGCAGCCAAATCTCATGAGCGGCTAAGCCCACGCCGCCCCGCTCCACAACGCCAAGACGCCATGAGCTCGGCACCTCCCACTCGGTATATAAACCACTCCTCCTTCTCCCTCCTCTCTTCCTCTCCTCATCAGCAGACAGACCAGGCGGCCTCTCCATCGTGCTCCCTGCCTGTTCCACTGTTGCCTCGTGCCTTCTCAGGAACGAGACAAGGGCGGATCAAGCTTGGTTGTAAGAAGGGTGGGGTCTTCTTTTCCAACTGCTTTTTTTTTATTTATTTTTTGGCTTTCCTGTAAACTGTAGTCTTGTCCATAGCAGGGCGGGAAGAAGGTTGGAAAGCGTGTTGTAGGGAATTGGGTTGTTATAGAGAAAATGTATGTAGAGAAGTGTAGTAATTGAGCGTGTTATACCGACCAACTAGAGAGGGGAATACCCCATATTTATACTAAAGAAAGGTAACACAAAACATAATGAATCATAACCGTATGGGCAATAGAAAGACATGACTAATAAATACCAGTGAAAGAATGAGTCAGAACCCGTGACTCATGATGACAAATGAGAATCATCCAATACTATGAAACGTGCTGAGCGTACTATTTCAAGAATTACCACTTGCGTCCGCCAAAGATAAAGAAAAAGAAATTAAAGACGGGTAATCTGCAGCAGGGGGACCTGGACGAAGACGTCAGATTTAGCGATCCCGAGCACATCATATATGACCTAACTGATGATTCTGACGGAGAGGAGGCATCTGCCGCCCAAATCGTCCCCTATATGTCTCTCCCGGGTGCCGGCAGGGCTGTCTCTCTGGCGCCTTCTGAGCCGGTAAGTGGCACAGAAGAGGAGGACGATGACGACGAAAGCGTCATCCAATCGGAGGTTGATGCCCGACTTAACGTACTAGCCTAATAGTACTGTATTTATTTTAGATATGTACCCCTTATATACAAGTATGGTGCCCACAGTCTTAAAGGTAACATGAGAAAAACGCCAAGTCCGGAATAACTTCTCAACCACAACAGATATTAAAAATCTGTCAGGTAATTCTCTTGTTTATTACTATTTCTATAATTTTTTCTGACAGATTTTTAATATCTGTTGTGGTTGAGAGGTTATTCGGGACTTGGCGTTTTTCTCATGTTACCTTTAAGGCTGGGGGCACCATAGCTAAATAATACAATTTTCTTTGCTCGACATTTACCTTTTAGCCAATCAAATCGATTAGTGTACCCATTTTGCTTATTCAGCGCTAGATATCTAAACCTAATCGACGCATATTGCTTATTTGGTGCTTAGGTGTATCGGTACCTGAGCCTAATCGATGGTATCAGCATCAAATATACCTTAATCTACGCATATTGCTTATTCCTTCCTGAATAAGATGCATCGAGACCAGGTGTAATTCAGACATTATGCCTCGTTGACAAATTAGGTTTATTTCTTTTGGTAAACCTAATCCAAAACAGAGCTTTAGCCAATCAAAAAGCATCAAATTAGCCCTATTTAGGGAACAGTAATAGCAGCTAATCTGACTAATCCAAATAAACGCTTATTTTAGCCTCTTTTGGTAAATAATGCATTCGTAATACTTAATTAAGACTCTCTGTATACTACGTAAAAGGCTCAAGATTATATGCGTTTCGACGCTAAGGTATCTGTATCTAATCCTAATCGACAATATAAGCATCTAAGGTTATTCATTCTACGCATATTACTTATTGAAGAGTTTCAACAGATCTGATTTGCCTTATTTTGGTGAAGCCACTAGTCATAACCTAAGCCTAACTAATCTAGGTTAACACTTATTACAGCCTTCTTTTCGTATAAAATTCATATCTAGAATTATTTTCAATGCAAACGATTATTTTCTAGCAGCTCTATTGAGAGGATTTCCGACACTCGGCGTCATGCAGTGGGAGGTCATGAACCATCACTCGAGAGTTGCGCGAGTGATAGTTCATGTTGCTAGTGGTCTTTTTTTTTTTTATTGTTTAATTCATTAATTGTATGTAGCCCTTAAGCTATGACAAATGTTGCTAGGATTTCGTTTATTGATTGATAATTCATCAATCTTGCGAAGGCTAATAGAGAAATACGCGGAACAGCATGATTTTCCTTATTCATTGTTCAGCTGCGCATAGCATAAAATCCATCTAGCCACTATGACGGCAGTTGTCACAACGCCGCAGGCTCAAGAGGTATGTGAAACATAACCAAACCTAGCTAACTATCCCACTATCCCCTATGCTCAACTTATGATTCAGAAGCCAAGTTCCTTGCCTGCATTGAAGTCCCTCGACAAATCATCAATGATCTTTGGCCTCCGAGGCCTACCCCTTCCCCGAGACCTACCCGCACCACGCAACCCACCTCTGACTCCACCGGCACCCCGTCCCCGTCTCTCAACCGCTGAATTCTGCATAAACGGCCCTCCACGTATTGAATCGACCGCCTCCACCGCCTCCACCCCATCATGCAGAACCCCCGTCGCGCTAGCCTCGGGCTCCTCCGTTGGTATTTCGCGGGCTATTGCGCATACAGTACGTGCGTCCTCAACCATCGCCGCTGCATCTTCTTGGGGGTAGTGAGTGCCTGTGGATGGGAATGGATAATTTGTAACTGTGAAGAGGGTTAGTTTGGATGTGTGGGGGGGGGAGGGTTGTGCAAGGGCTTACACTGCCCGGAAGGGCGGGCGATGGTAATGAGAGGCCGACGTTGGGTGATGTGGCGGATAGGGGCTGGAGTGCCGTCACTGTTGTGGGGTTGCTCCGGCTCGATGGCGGCGGAAGATGGCTGGTTAGGTGAGGTCGGTACGTCGCCGGTAGGTGCGGCGACACCGTCTTGGCTGGTGATAGATGTGGGATTGGCCCTCGTCATGTTTACTGGAATTCGTGATAACGTGATTTTTCTTTTTAATAGTGGTGAGGCTGTGGACATGGTAGAAGAGAGGAGGCAGGGGCGAGGGTCCGTATTTATAGAGTATGATCTTTTGTTTCTGTAGGGGTAGTCTTTCTAGCATGGTTTGCGGTTTAAGGTATCGTATTAAAAGCAGGATATTACGCATAAAAGGGATAAGGATACGGTACCATACTAAATTTAAAAACCAGACAAAAGAGAACAGGGAGCTGCGGCATTAAAGGAAGAATGTGGGGCTTTACATTCAATCACGTCTCTGCCGCGCTGTATACAGGCCTCCTACATATGGGTCGGCCATATACAACCCCGCTAGATGGAATAAATACTATGCATTTCCCTTCCGTGTTGGATCCGTCTCTACCAGCAAAGCAGATCAAATAATTTTTCCGTTTACAAACGAAGCAACGGGGCTTCTTCCAGTACTCCACACCAACACCTGTATAGTCACATAATACAGGACTTTGATAGACGCACCGGGAGTGCTACGGCTGTCAACCGCCTTGTTCATCAACGCTAGCAGTCTGCATATGTTATCCATCTTTATCTTTGATATCACGGCTGTATAAATGACACCCCAGTGTTCGCAACGGAGCAGTCCGTCGGTCCCGGAGGTCAGGACCGGACCGTCTACGGGCTGTAGTCGGTCTTGAGAAGGTATCCGGGACTGACTACCGAGTATGGGGCTAGGACTACCGACTATAGTCTAGATTATAGGGTTGTAGCTGGGCATAGGCTGTGGCGCTGCCATGCAGATATCTACAGTCCTGCATTGACATCTACAGTCCTGCATAGACATCTACAGTCCTGCATTGATATCTACAGATATCTGCGGTCCTAGCACTGATCTACAGTTTGCAAGGCTCAACAGCTGTCCAACACACAATTTTGGTCTATGAGCGCAATATATCAATTCTCCCACACTTATACTTCTATGTAGTCGCTAAAACCGAGTGATCGCTCATGACCGCATAGATATCTATAGTCCGGCGCCTTATCTATAGTCCTGGCAAAATCAGGGACTGGACGGACCACAACCATATAGTCTGTCCAGTCCGGAGGCACTGCCACGGCATCTATAGATATCTATAATCCGGACCTGACCGTTGCGAACACTGTACGTTACTCTCATGTTAGGTCCGGTTTTCATTAGCGGGGACAGGATCATACCAATCACTATACATAAAGACCCTTTTATCCTCACGAGCCAAGCTGCCGACACATCATTCATCTCTCTCTCTTGTTTCCTCTTGATACAGGAGGTATAAAGCTGAACCGCCATCTAAGAGCTGTCGAAGTTCAAGTGCTATAGATACTCTGGCCTCTCTGTCAACCGACCTTATCAGTCAATGTTCACGAAGGGTACGAACTATCTATTAATTAGTTGCTCTACCTGTTGACCAATCGTTGTATCGGAAGTTGACAGAGGGTACACCACTCGCCAACTTAGGTCCTTGGTGAGTATAATAGCAAAACACTGACAATAACGACTAGGTATGGTCAGCGATCCGCCACAAACTAATTGCCTTAAGGATCTTATGCGAACCTAGGAGATTCAAAACTAATTCTCTATCCTAGATACACCCCAATGGATTGGTTGTATATGTATATGTACCCCGATATCCGATAGAAATATACGTTCACCGCCCACTCTGGATTGCAGCTCAATAGTCTCAAAATTGGAACCAGTTGACAGGCGGCGCATTTTCAGTGGACTTTCGATATATCAAACGGTTGACGGATAAGGAGTGTTGACGGAGAGGGCAGAGCAGGACTGATGGTGAATAAAAGGGTCGATGGATCAGTAGCTAGGCTGGTGCCTGAAGCTGGCATCTGGTAGAAAGCCTCCCTACGTGGCCTATACTACGGCTACGGTACATCCCAGCACGTGCCAAAGCGGGAACACCACCCCTGTACATAACTAAGCTGTCGGGATGTTGGACCCCCGTCTCTCTATACTGGTAACTTCTATCCTGTCTGCCGGGTATGCAATTATCTATACGTACTAAGAATATCGCTATGTAGTGCTCCGATATACGGCGAGTCGACTGACCGTCGTAATCCATTACGACACTTTCTGGCTGACACACCGATTCTACACATTTCAGGATATAAGAGATATCGATGGCAAGCCGCTCTTACGCATCGTTAATGCGGGTATAGTCATTTTTTTTTTTTCATATCAAAATATCCTCGCACCAACCATGACTGGCTGTCAGGTTTCCCGGGGGTGCCGGGGTGGAGATTGTCCGCACCTGCGCTTTCGCTAATACAAACGCAGGTTAAACCGCGAGCTACTCCGTCTGCAGTGTTACATCGGTATAAGTAGTATAGTGAGAAATCTTAACATTATATTCCGCTCTTAAAAGTTGAGATTTGCATATTAATAATAATAAGACTCCACAGGAGAGTCCAAAGATATCGCGAGATAACCATGCCTTAAGAACACCGAACCATTACAAGAATCTATCATGTCGCACGCAATTTAATATCCGAATGACCTCCGAGAAATGAATGAATGATCAATCAATCAGGTCGCGCGTCTGTCGAGAATAGCATCGAGTGAGAATGAACAATTCGAGTGAGATACCATGAACGAGTGACCCCTCATGACAGAACCACGGGCGAGTGAGAACCTATGACCTCCCACCATGGCAACGAAGAACACACACACCAAACCGCCCCGCCACATGAGAAGGCCATTGTTCCGCACATATGACCGCGCAGTTCGCCATAGCTTACTCTGCCCACACTGCAACTCAAAAGAAGATCTTTGCGACCCACAGCCGCGCCAAGAGCCTCCGTTAACGCGTTAGCGCCGGGCGTGGTTGCATAGAATGGTACGCCAACCTGAAAATCTTTACAGTCTTATAAACCGCCATGCCCTCCCTTTCTTCGTTTGACAACAGGTAGGTTCTTTTCAAGGTATATTTGCTGGAGTGCGGAGCGCGCAGAGCATCGGAGGTGAGTACTTCACGAGTTAGAATTTTGTGGGTTATTTATTTCTTTCTGCGACGTGAAAGCCTGTGGCAGTCAGCTAGTAACCGTCAGTAGGTAGGTGAAGTTCGTACTCGAGATGTATGACAACGTGAATACAACAGGTTAGAGAATCCGTGACTTTCTGACCCTCAACCAGTGTGGGTTATTTGGGCGTACTAGGTAAATCAGCTTTGGTTGGGTTGGGTGCAAGAAAATATTTACAGCCACTCTGCAAAAGTGTTCATGATTCCGATTTCGAAGTGAGACATTTCTCCATAGGTAACCGTAGCGGAGCATCAAAAAAAGCTCCAAGAGAAGACTTTCCCAGTGATCAATGGCACCCGGAATCAATGAAGAATAAGATCAATGACCTATCTTCTTTTATATATTTTTCCTTATTTTGAATCTCAACATTAATAACATCAAGAATACGGGTGCGCCACACTGCGCACTGACATTAAAACTAAATCACGAACACTTTTGCTGAGTGGCTGTACTTATGTAACCCATGGATTGAGTAATAAGCTATGATCACCTATGAAAGAGAAAAATAGAGATCGTTTTCGTCAAAAAGAGACATCATAACCCTAACCCACCACAGAAAAAAAAGCGTTGTCCATTCATCAGTGAAGATGTTTTTGTACCGATTTACCCACAGTGTGTAACCCGGGTATGGCAGGTTGGGTTGGGTTGTTATGGGTAAGCCTACTCATGATGTGGGTTGGGTTGGGTGAGGCTTCAATCTAACTAGGGTTTACTTATTGAGAGATCTGTTTGTAGGAGCGCTGTGTGTGTTCTGTTCTCTTACAGGTCACAATAGAGGCTCGAGAGTAGAACGAAGAGAAGATGATTTATTAAAAGTCCAGCAGGTCTAGTCTAGATATATAGTCCTAGATTTAGAGTTACACCGTGGTCTAGTTCTACATTTTGACAGAGTGGCTCAACGTTGTTGGCCGGCTGTCGTGACCAGTCTCTAGCTCTTCCTTCATCGACGATACGAAACAAAGCGTAATCAAAGCTGACCCAACAAACGTGTACATTCTATGATGATGAGATGATGAGACGATGAGACAGGTAAACTAGCTAGAGGTACATGTAGTCGAGATATTGACACCGATACATTGTACTCCCAAAACGCTACGTTTCCACTAGCCTCTGCTTCGGCTATCAGCCACATCAGATATCTTATTACCAAGCAATTACCACTAGCGCGCCCAACAATGTCTTGATGCACCTATTTAAACTATACTCTATCACCAGATGAACGCTTATTAGCTGCATTCTCCTCAGCCCCATTACCCCCACCGAAGTACCTCGATAGTAGGATTGTTACTTCTATTGATGATCTTGATACAAAGGACGAGGAGTTTCTCTCCTCTTCTCCCCCAGTTGCTGATCTGGCACTGTGGCCAAATGCCGAGCCTCGCGCCCGTCTACCACTATCTGGCTAACACTACTAGACACTGTACCGCCACTGTCATACCCCTGTCGTACACAAAATCGGGTGTTTATTCAAACCACACTCCAAACCACAAAGGTGCTTAATTTAAACCACCAAAATTCATTTACCTACAAATTCATCGGTTATTCCCCTTCTGTGAAACACATGCTAAACGCCCATCAAACACCTAATAAACACCTTTTATACCACCTTTAAACACCTAGTAAACACCTTTTTAAACACCCACCAAACACCCTTAAACCACATTCAAACATCTACTAAACACCTCCTCTAAACACCTTTAAACCACCCTCGCTTATTAAATTGGCAGGGTTTGGCCGAACGTGTGGTTTAAATCACGCACAATAGTGGTTTAATCAAGCACCTCAGATATTTCTTAAACGTGTTAAATTGGTTACTAAACCACTAGCTGATTATTTAATATGTTTCTAGCTATTGCCGGGTCTAGTTGCACTAAATACTATAGCTACAGCCCCGCTTGTATTCCTATTAATACATGTGCGCGCCACCCTAATCGTATACTCCATACCCAATCCACAGTATCCTGAATACGCCGGTAATCCATATCCGTAACAAACTCCATGATGATAAGAAAATGTGAAATGATTTAAACGCCCTGAACGATATATCTGGTATGCAGTTAGTATATTTTCATCACTGATATGTATTGGTTTCGAGGCGATAGTACTTACCTTGAAAATGATTTTAGAAATCTAATGAGACGTGATCACTGAATCTTGAAGTTAGCCTTTTGATTTCTAATATCTCTCCTGACATTAGCAATCTGTTCAACCTGTTTCTTCGTAGCCTTTATAGCCGCTGTCTCGGAGGCCTTTTCCGTCATCCTAGTTGCCCTTCCAGCTCTTGTGGTTGCCAACGGCGAAGTAGGAGCTGGAGTGGGAGTTGGGTTAGAGGCGGGTGTAGCGTCCGTTGCAGCGGGTTTCTGCTTTCTCGGTCTACCCCGAGGGCGCTTCTCCACGATCACGTCGGGAACAGGCGCCTTCTTATCGGCTTTTCTTTTTCCTTTTCCCTGCTCCGGCTCCGGTCCTCCTGAGTTTGATTGAGTACTGAGTTCCGCTCCATTGGGGGTATCAACGGGAAGGAGGGGGTTAATTTGTACCTCAGAACCGGTCATGGCACCCTTCGTGGTTTAGTTGAAGTTTTTTCCTTTACCAAGCCCTTCCATATGATGATTCTGCACATACGATATATCAGTACACAACTTATTCCCACGCAGTAACGATATATACCTTCTTGTTCCCTGTTTTAGAGTTCACAGGTAACTCGACCACTTTTGCAGGCCCTTCATCTCCAGAGTTGAACTCATCGTCATTTGGAGGGAGAACCTTCACGAGTACCCCATCTCCACACAAGTCAAGTAGCCGGCTGAAATCTTCTTCGATTGAAATAGGACGCCAGATGAGTGCTTTAGGGGGGCCATCCGCTGGGCGGTAATAAACTATATCACTGTCGCCAATTGTCAAAACATTAGATATAGCCGCCATAAACCCTTCGAAACCCCGGATAACAGGCATCCTCATCGGTTTGTTGTTAGCAATGTAGATACTAAGTACCTCGCTAATGTCATCTGGTTCCGTTGTTTGTTGTTCCCTGAATGTAGGGGCCGAGCTAATTGATGAGGAGGCCCTTTCAGACCGAGCTAGATTGTGTTAGCACGATAGAGTAGTGTTGTAGAGGCTGGAACATACTAATATTCACTATAGTCATCGGTGAAATGACCTCCAACGCTGACTCGTTAGTGATCGGAGTGGGGTTTAAGGGCAATCTGTTCCCTTTTGCTACCGGTGTGGCCGCGAGGAAAACATCAGTATGGGTGGTGGTCTGGTGAGATTTCTGTTTGGGTGCAGAGGTCTTGGGCACCGACTGTTTCGCTGCGGAGGACTTGGGTGCTGAGTGCTTGGGAGGGTTAGGCTTGTTAGACGGACGGTGATTGATGCTGACAGTTTTCGGGATAGTGCCGGGGGCTCGTTTCCTGGATGCTACAACGGTTTCTTTGTCGCTGTCTGCTTCCTCTTCTTCGTCAGAATCCTCCTCTGGGACTTGCCTGTTATCGTAAGCATCGGATTCGGCGGGTATATCATTTCCCTCCTCCGCCAACTTCGCCAACCTCGCTCTTTCCGCCAAGAGACGTTCCCTAGCATTGTAGTTTCGGACTTTGTCTAGGCAGAGTGCATGTATAACATCTCGTGTCAGTTTCGACGTCCAACAACTACCAAACTGTTCCCTCATCTCCGGTGCAACGATCTTAACCAGTTTGTACATGACGTTTTGGTCAAATTTGTTGAATGGCTTGGTTAATGGCTGACTTCGCCTCGCACAAAGCATCCTCAAGTAGTCGCGGCGTTCTCTGATACCTATATTATCTTTGGCTTCAAGTCCCATGCGTGATGCTAAAGTTTTTCGCATCTTGTATGGCGCCTTTTTCTTTTCTTTCTTTGGCTCCTCTGGTTGTGATACTGGCCGCAACGTATCGACAACCAGTACCTCCGCTGCCAAATCTTTCTTACTCCGCACATGTCTACTGGGTGTCTCGATCTCGCTTGCAGATTCATTGTCGCCTTCGGAATCTTGGGAAAGCCTAGGGGTAGGGTGGGAGGATGATGGTGGACTTTCGCGTATCTGGGAGAGAATGCGTATAGGCTGTGTCTCTTCGATTTGCGTCTCTGGTACATGGTTCGAATCGGCATCATCTTTATCGATTTTCATTAGTGAGCTATAAATACACGAGCTAGATCGAGAGGTTAAGGAGGGGGGGATGATGACATGTCGACATACCAGATACGTCCACCTGATTTTTCTCCCACTCCAGCTCGGCTAAGCGTCGTTGCTCTTTGAGGAAGGCTTTTTTTTTTGCCAACTTGAGTTGCTGACTATCGCTTGCTCCTTTGCTAGCACCGCGATCCGCCATATTGACGAACCTCTTGTTCTTTGGTTGATGGGGTAGATACCTGGCTGGTTGATGAGATGATGATTTAGAGATGGAGCGGTTCAGGAGGTGAGGTTGAATTTTAGACGAGGCTGGGGCTTAAAAGTTACAAAAAGGGTTAAGCGCCGATCAAACTGAGCTTAGCGCAACGAAAAATTTTGATTCCACTATCAAAATAAGCTGGTGTATCTACGAGTGAGGTATTCGCGACCGTTCTTTCTGATGAGTCCTATCAGCTCTACAATATTATCCACTGGAATAACAGCTTTTATCCCGACATTCGAACGATATAGCAGTCTTCCATCTTCTTCCACTGTATACTGCTGGACATACGCCAAATCTAAGCGGTTTTCGACATTGCCCTCTTCCTCAACACGAGCACCATCCGAGTAGACCACACTGAAAAAGAAAATAATCTCCCCGTATCCCACCCCGTCTTCTTCGAGCTTTGAATCGAACATTACAATGGAAGAATTTCTCGTGGCGTTAACCCTTTTCATACTTGAAGAAGTGACTACAAACGGGTCCAGATCATGGTAGATTGTGCACGAGGACCATTTAATACACTCTGTGGGTAAGTTATCCAAGGCTACTTGCATATCAAATCTTTCGATTGAGCCCTCCTCTGTCAGACGAATGTGCTCCTGGAGATAGAACTTTAGAATACGTCTTTCCCAATTACTCAGTGTATGTTTGCGAGCCGGTCGAGAGAAATGAGGTTTGCGAGAATGCTCTTCTGGGTCCGGAGGAACTGTAGATATTGCTTTTAGTCGCCTAGCAAAGAAACGATGAAGGAGAACATTTCCGTCCTGATCCTCATACTCTGCATTATCCCCCTCCTGGCCAATACCCGGGAGTGCAATTACGTATGGCAGGTGATTACGCCGCTCGTTCAACAACATTGTAATTGCCATATTGCGGTTTGCGGAAACACGCGACTTCGCCGACGCCGCTATCATTCCGCAAGCGCGCTCCATTGGCCATTGCCAATAAACGAACATCGGCCCAGCCCATCTGATACCATCTGCGACATGTAGAACCTGATGAAAAACAGGTAAACATGCAGACAGTCTCTCCCATTGTTTCTTGTAGTACCGGTTTTCGTAATACCGGATAAATCTTTTAATACGCCTCCCCACAGCTAACACCTCGACGATAGTGATTTCATTGTCACAGCCAAGTTGAATAGCGTCTATTAGGTTGAGGTAATGTTCGTAATCCTCATCGGGAAGATTATCCTTTAGGTAGATGGGTGCCAAGAGAAAGGCAAACGTTCTCCACTCCGCAGCCTTTAAATGGTGGCAGTGCTCTGCAAAATTGCGTATCGGGTCACCAAACAGTGTTGGGAAGGTGTTTGCACTGGCAACCATATCTCTCGAGATATCTAACCAAATCGATGGTCGTATATTGTACTCATCATCTGTCTGTACAAATTTCTTCGTTGCTGAAGATCTAGCTGGAGCTGAGGATAAAGGTACAGGTGTATTCCGGTTTCTACCCCAGGCCATACGTGCTCTTGGCCTTCGATGAAAAGATCTACGACGGCGTGCACTTTGATTATCCGCGATTTCCAAATCACTACCCGATTCCTCTGATTCCTCCGACTCAACATCAGTATCCATGCCTTCGTCAGCAGCAGCAACAGCATTGATATTTGCAGTAGCTAAGTCCGAGAAGAACTTTCCTCGCCAGTGTTTCACCAAGTCTGGTATGATGTTTTCCCACCAAAGATGCATAGCGTCAGGAGGGAAACTGCGCGGGATGTCTATCGACTTCAGCTGTGACAGACAGCAAGGACCTTTGATTCCATACCTTTTTGCGGTATGTTCATCTCCGGTTTGAACAACGTGCAGGCCAACACGGCGTGATTCGGTGTCATCCCGCATAGGTAGATTAGACGAATCATATGTAGTCAAATCAGGGGGTTCGCCGCCGTATCTTGCCTGGACGGTCGGTGGTGCAGGATTTGTGGGTGGTTCAAGCGGGCAATAGACACCCCGATGAAAAACTCCTTGTATATAGCAATATGGACAGTAGCATGTCCCCCTATTGCCTTGAAACGCTGTTAGTAGGGTTTCATTACGTATGCATTTAAAATAACTCAAAATACCTTTAAAATTCATCAATTTCTCCCTGCCAGGCATATCCGCAGCAACGACACAAATGTGAGCACGGAGTGTGAAGTTGTGATTGTGAGAGGCGTTCCAAACATTGGGAATACCCCTCTCGAGAAGCAGGAATTCTTGTATTAAAGGAAATAGAAAGGATTCTATATCTTTTGGATTATTCGGTCCGGGAATAAAACCTAATAGTAGCATGTTACGTTTCTTGAAACACACAGCTGGTGGTAGGTTGAGATTAACCTATACAATGAAGTCAGAACATATACTAAAATTTAGTATATAAATATTAGAGGAACTACCAGAAGCAGTGGCCAAATGCTAAAGCTTCGTCTGCTCTTAAAGACTTTCACTCCGTCTGTGCTCAACAAGAAACCGATGTCGGTATCATTGCTGAAAAGACCGTGTCTAGTTTTCATATCGTTGAAGAGGTCAGCTGACCAATAATCAGAAATCAAGCCTTTATCACGATCCTGTTCGGCAGTAGACCTGTATGTTGTCATTAGGGAAGCTTGTTCGGCTTTCGAGAACAATAGGGAAATCCTATGACCAACGGGTATGTAGCTATGCGTGGCATAGGGGACTTTAAGGCGTGGGTTCCTGGTCCTTGAACTTGTCTCCATCCAACGTGGATGATCGCAATGTGTGCATCTTTCCAGCTCCGGATACATAGCATAAGACATGTGGGAATGAGGGCAGCAGTCGTAAAGAATTTCTTTTATCCCCGTTCGCTTTTCAATCTGTTTGCGAATTGTATGGTAGTCCATCATTTTGTCGGCAATGATACTAGAGAACAGCTCCCGGGTATCATTCGATGCTTCTCTAGAAATCTTGTGCTTTAGGGTAATATCATCGAGAGCGATCGACAACATGTCCTGTTTAGTGAGGGGATCGCCTGTAGGATTACGGTAATCAAACCTCAACTCCGGCTCTGGAGAGTCTGCGTCTGCCTCCGGCTCCTGAACGTCGGGACCTAGCTCTTCATCTGACGATTCTTCAACGGGTTCAAACTCCTCAAGTGGGCTACCACTGCTTTCTATGAAACCCCGTCTCATCTGTCCAAGAGCTGGTTCTTCGTCGAAATCGTAAGAGGAAGATGATTCAGCTAACAAGTCACCGAGATCTGGCGCCTCGATTTCTGAGTCTGAGCTGGCAGTAAACAATATGTCCCCGACTGGTGGTAAGTCCCCTATCTCATTGTGCGGGAGCCCGTGGTCAACGTCTGAAGATTGAACGGGCTCATGTACCGGTGATGGCATGTCCGACTCCGTTGTTTGGGTAGCTGACACTGGGGGAGGGGTTACTGGCGGATTTTGTTGCGATTGTGAGCTGCGAAACGCGTGAACATCTGCAGGTGCCGGTGAAGGCGAGAGCGATGAACTTTGATTTATTGGGAGGTCGTATTCTATCTCTGGAATCGGAGACGAGCTTGGGGCCCGGGAACTGGCGGGGCCCGGGACTGAATCTGATGAATTGCGCAGTTGTAGAACAGGACTCGAGGGGGGTTCCCACGGATTAATGGGGTGTGATAAAGGAAGGGGTGGGCTACGATCTTCAAGCTCCGGCGGAATCTCAGGCTCAGATGCGTTCCCATATACAGCTAATCGAACAGCTTGACGCCTGTCTTCGGCCTTCAGCGCCAGATGCCTTGTCCAAGCACTCCGGGTAGTAACTTGATGGGGCACATTGCCATACATAGAGCAATCGCACATCCTACTGGCAAAGGATGACATCTTGATGATCTATCGATGAATGATGAGGGGGTGTTGATGGTGGACGTGTAGAGTATGCAGGTACACACAGCTCAGCTGGATCATGGATCGATGCATGCATCAAATTAAGTGCAGTGTGGTGCTGTCACGTGATCAAGCGAGAGTAGTGTGCTGCGGGGTAGAGGTGTTTAGCTAAACACCTAGAAGTAGTCTATTCAAACCCCAACGAAGAATGTTTAGTTAAACACCCAGGGTGGTTTAGATAAACTACAGAAAAACCATCAATTCCCCGGGAATTGGACTGTAGGTGTTTAGCTAAACATCTTAAGATAGTTTAAATAAACCCCTAGTAATAAGCGACAAAGTCGGTGTTTAGTTAAACTACTTTGAATGGTTTAAATAAACCCCAAAGAATAAGCGGCACACCAGGGGTTTATTTAAACCACTAAATGTAGTCTAAATAAACCCCCAAAATCGTAGGGACAATCGGTGTTTATTTAAACCATTTAGGGTGGTTTAACTAAACCCCACGGAAAAAAAAATGAGTGTCGTTGTGTAACTAAACAACGCTAGGGTAGTTTAGCTAAACACCGTAAATCATACTAAACAACTTTGGTGTTTAGGATGTTTAAATAAACTCTTTGGGTGTTTAACTAAACCACAAAGATGTTTGAACTAAACTACTCTAGCCCGGTTGCTTGTACCACAGGGATACCCCCACTTGTACACATAATCAACCTTTGCAGCCACCCCCTCCAATTCCTCCTCCGACATTGGCATCTCAGAGCGCCACAGGCTACCCGCCGACTTGACGCCAATAACTGCTTTAATAATATCTGACCGATAAAGCGTTGTCAATAACGGAGCTATATCATCACCGTTGAGATCGGAAAAAAAACTCCCCCGGCTCTCCGAGGATGATGTATTCCTTCACGACCTGCGGTGTATCGGTCTTAGGCAGACGTCTCAATCGATATCTGCAAGCAAATAATGCGACGGCAATTATGGTGACACATCAAAGGCCACCGGTGTAATCTCTAATGCCAGCGAGGATTTATCACTCGCTACTGGAGCGGGCCTCTGGACGCCTGTAAACGTTGCACAGGCTTTCGTGATTTGCAAGCCACCCTCATTTATGGTGACCACGGTG